CTCTTGGGCCCTGACACTTCTCATAATGGGGACACTGTTTGAGGAGTTTCTGAGTAAGATTTCCTATTTCGAGTGTGTGGCAGGCTTATTGGCATTGGGGGTGCTGAGGGAGCAGGAATTGGGGGAGGAGTTTGGGGTGGAGGAGAAGTTGGCTCAGTGTTAGGGGCTCAAGGTAATGGGGGTTCCCTTCATGAGACATGAGATGTTCCTCATAGCAGAGGATCATCAAGGATATCTACATCTCCTTCCTTAGGTTTTTATTGGGGTCTGGCAAGCCCCTTACAGAGGGTTGGGTTTTGATAGAGGGCCATAAAGACCTGCATGTACAGTATCTCTGACCATCTTTTTTGCTTTTTACAATTTTGACCTAACTGTAAGATGGTGTCATAATCAAGACTTCCATTTTCACACCACCTTTTAGTTCCCAATTGATATTGGGACCAAACCTCATTATAGTCATGAATCAAATATTCCTTTTTTAGTTTAGTAGGGTCAAAGCACTCCCAGTATTTAAGGATACAGCCAAGTGGGGAATCTGTTGAGACTGAGTTAGCTAACCCCATGTCAGCTGTGGAGAGAGAGAAGGAAATGGGAAGGGGGAAATTTATTCTTTAGGAGAGAGAAATACAAGAACTTCTAGATACTTAGAGCATCCCCCATACCTCTAGGAAGCCTCAACACTGGTCCCTTTGACCTGTTTCTGTCACACGTGTGGTACAAGTGAGTAGCAGGGTGCCCTAAAGAGTCAGTCTCTCCACCCCTGCATGAGGGTTCCTGTGTGCTAACCCAATTGTTATCTTAGTGAGAAGAAAATGAAGATCAGAGGAGTACACCAGATAATAAAAATGCACTAGGATGAAATTTGAACCCATTGCCCTGCATTTGTTAGGCAGGTGTTCCATTATAAGATATTTCATTGTCAGCCTCTATTAGTTTTCCTAAAGAAAGGAGACTAAGGGACCATCTCTAGAACCTAGGATTTATTCTTATTAATCCTAGCTGTAAAAGGTACCATCCACTTGTAGGTAGGCCCCTACTGTGTGCCTCTGGAACAAGGAGATCTAACCTATGCATGAGTGTTTCCTCAACTCCCTGTAGGCTATGGGAGTAAGCCAAGCATGGGTGAGAATTGAGATGGGGTGGATAGGGCAGACAGGCATATCAGGTAGGCAGGTAAGAGAGTGGGTTAGAGGAGGGAGACAGAGAAGTTTGCAGATGGGAAGAAGGCGGTTAGGTTAGGCACAGGACCTTGGTCACCAGAGGTGTCACTCCTCCCTCCCCCCCACCTTGTTTTGGAACAGGGGCCATAGTCCCAAGTCTTAGGGAAATGTAGCCCCCTCCTGTTGCCACCACTGTCATGGGGCTGGGGGACTGCAGAAGGCATGAGTGGGGAGAGCAAAAGCCAGCTGGGCCATTCCTGCTGTGTCTCTGGTACCCCAAGCTTCCCTGTCATTTTGCTGGCAGCAGAGCTGTCATCTCTTTGCATTTTCCCTCTCAGCCAGCTCAGGCATTGGGAGCCTTATAGCTGGAGGCTGCTGACAGAGTCTGCTGGCCTATGCAGCACCTGAGCATGTTACAGTGGAGGCTGTATCTATTGCAGCACATAGGCCACCACCACTGTTGCCCCCGAGGTCACAGTTGCTGCACTCTTTACCACCATGTGTGTCAGTGCCCTGTGGCTGGCTAGGCATAGCTTCCAGCTCATGCTGAGAAGTGGACTGGGGCCTGTGCCACATGTAGGCCCAAGGGGAGGGGCTGGAGGATTGCACCAAGAAGCCACAGGCCTGGAGGCCCCGCCAAATGGCACCGGGCATGGTGTAGGAGGGACAGGGAGATCTACGCCAGTGATTGACTATGGGGCAGGCCTGGAGGCTCTGCTGAATTGCACTGAGCATCTTGGGGGTCTCGTGCCAGCAGTCCATTCTGGAGCCTCCACCCTCCAAAGGTGGAACTTCCACCCTCCTGAGGCATGACTTCTGACCTTTGGAAACACCTGTGCATGCTCAGAACTGTGTGCATGCACACTAAACCCAGGTACATGGGCGCCATCATGCACATGGGGCTGCCCACGTGGTTGTCCCAACTGGCCAAGCAGGAAACCGTGTACGTGCAACATGAACTGTGGGCGTAGCTTCCTCGAGTGGCCCACTGGACAGCTGTGTGTGATCATCGTGAACTGCAGGTGTGGCTGTCTCTAACTGGGAAGCCATGCATGTGTGCCCAAAACATACTCTTGGCTCCTTGTAGTGGCTACCCCTAAAAATGAGTGGCCCACCCCATTCCACAAGTGATTGCCCCAAGAGGTGACTCAGGAGACCCTGTGTGCATGCCCATCCCCCGGTGCCAGCAGTGACCAGGATGGGACAGCAAGGCTCTTTTCCCTTTACTGCTATTGCATTCCCTGACAGCTGTAAAACCTGTAGTTTTATGTCCCATCTTCCCCCCACACCCAAGGGAGCAACTGAAAGGGGCTGGCAAGCCTCTCATCCCATAGGTAGCAGTTTATTTGCTCCCTGTCCATGTGGCTCCCTCCCCTATTTTATAAGCAGCTATGCTTTCCCAGAGCAGGTGTCAGCCCCTCTGGAGCCAGTCCTTTCTGTTCCTCTCTGCTTAAAAAAAAAAAAGTCCTGTCATAGAATGGGCTGAATGAGGTGTGCCTCCCATTTGTTATTTTAAAACTGCCAGTTAAGGAGAGAAAGAAAAGAAGAGAAAAATAGAAATGTGGGGGGAGAGGGTGAAGCCCAAACGGTGGGGGTACATTTCTAATTGTCCCCAGCCACATGGAGGGTTAGAGACCTTGGAATAGCTTTCCCACAGTGCAGTGAAGGAAAGGATGGGAGGGAGGGGATTAAGGGTTAGGAAAGGTAGGGCTGGGGATGGGACAGTTATCTTTTAATGTAATCCATTCCCCAGGGCGGGACCAGGGAACTCAGACATGAACCCTGTGCCTTGGGATGCTCTCACAAGTCCTGCCAGCAAATGTTGCATCTTGCCAATCAGGGTGCAGTCCATCTGTGCCTGGGCTCCAAATGAGTCCTGAGCATTGGGTGTGAGGGTGACCCCCCCAGTGTGAGGGTCCCCTACCACCCAAGCTGTAAGTGGTGTTTGGTTCTGAGGCATCAGGGGTGAGGTATAGTACCTGAGGTCAGAGAAAGATGGATTAAAATAAAGATTGGCAGAGATAGCATATTGGGATCTCACAGGTCAGTTTCTCCTGGCTGGCTTGCCACAAATGTTACCAGCACTGGTGCAGTCTATGATTCTGGTTTTTGTGCTCCAAATGGAAAAATCCAAGCAGAGTACATGGATGGGGTAAGGTATGATAGATTTTCTGAGAAAAAGAAGTCACCTGTTCTGCCAGGTGGGAAAAGGGAAGAAGAAGAAGAAAGGGCAGGGTCTCTTGATATGGTGTTTTTATACCACCTTGAACTTGGAGGTAGGGAGACATTGCATCATTACTTGTGTCCTCTTACCTATGGGCTAGGAGGAGGAGCTCTTGAGCCAAGAGGGGGAGCAGTCCAAGACTATCCCTAACCTAACCTGCTTCATGTTCATCTGGTAAATACACCTTAGGCAGTTTGTATAAAGCCATCTTCTGACCAACAGCAATGATACAGAGGTTGGGGCAAGACAGAAGAGACACAGAGGGAACCCACAGGAGACCAGTTGGTTCTTTGGTGGATACAGTTTAAGGCAACTCTGATGCTTGAACTTAAAAGTCATTGCCTTGTGTGTCAAGTAGATTAATTCTGCCAGTGAGGGGCACTGGCTGTCAAATATAAGATCTAAACACTCTTCTCTGTTTCCTCATGGGTTTGCTTGGTGCCCAAGTGCAAGTAGCTCAGTCTTCCCATCTTTAATATAGATCTGCCAATGTGACTCTTTTCCTTCAACGGTGGAAGGATTTGTGGATTTTCATGAGTTCTGTAGTCATGTAATCCAGGAACAGCACTCTATTTTTTATATTAGACTTGCAATGATAGTGGCTGAACAGGATTTTCTTGATGATTTGGGATCCAAATCATCAAGAAAAGAAACATCAGTTCTGTGGGATAAGTGAGGAGGACTCTCATTGGCAATGCACTCCACTTTAGTAATTTTGTAAATAAAAGGAATTATGAAGGAGAGGAACCAAGCAGCATGATCAGAGTTTGGTAGGGAGTAAATATTTATATTTTAGGAACACTATGTATAACATGAGCACAGGTTTGATGGTTCATTACAGTCAAGTTCTCACAGTGGTTATGAGAACTTGCTAAGACAGCACAGGAATTTTCTGGGGTCTCTGGGCCTGTGAAATAGTACTTTTTCTCTGGAATCTGTAAGCCACACAGTTCTCACAGTATTTTGATGGGAAATGTTTATTGATTTGGAAGAATGGCACTATTTTTCCAGAAAATTAGACTGCAAGTCTTCCTTCAATCTCCACATTGTTGACTGTTCAAAGCTTGCCTCAAGGGATCCTGAAAATTCATTACACTACAGAGCTCTTGGCTCCTCCTCTGTAACACAAACTCTCAGGCTCATGCAGCCTGAATGTAGTGAATTGTACAACCTAATTTTCAGACAGTAAAGTGCACTTGTTTATTCAACAACCACTTTCCAAACATGCTCCAGTCCTAGAGTCTCCTTGGGTCACAACTTTGCATTTAGAGAGAGAATTTAAGACAGTTTTGTCCAGTCCTGTGGCCAAAGGCTGGCAAACAGCTGACCCATCAAGTGACAAGGTCATCCTCTGACATGTTCCTGGCCATGATGATCTATTGCTGATGTTCAGCGTCCTGTAATCTCCCCTCTTTCCTGGCCTTTTCCCAAGTCTGTCTAGAATATCCTTTTCCCTCCCCATGTCTACCCAATCCCTTTAGATTTGTGCTTATGTAGTTACTGGAAGATCATGAGGGTAAGAGCAGGACATGAAAAGAGGTAAGTGTGCTCTAGATTTTCCATAAGACCAGATTCCAGTCCCACTTTTGTCCTACTCCATCTGGGGCAATACCCAGTCTTTCCTAGGCCTCACTTCTGGGAGACGCCGGGCTAGCCATGGCAGTGTGTTCCATTTTCGAGCACCAGGACAAGACATCTCATTCCCTGATGGTATCACAGACGATGGAGTCTTTTCTGGAGACCATGAAAGTCATCGAGGCTCCCTGCTGCTAGGTAGGGGTGCTGGACAGCAAGTCCCCCTCCCCAGGAGCCCACTGCCTCAACCACCCAACCTTGGCTCTGGGCATGAAGAAGAGGGACACCCCACGCTGCCCATGAGTGAGCTTGCTCCTGGAGCCACTGATGTTTTGGTGAGTTTGTGCATGTGCTTGACTCTCTCAGACTGCCTTCCAGCCACAGGCCTTTGGCCAAGAAGCCCTGTCTGTTGCCAGTGGAAGGGTCTTTAGCCATCCTATGTCCAGCGCCTCCCACCCACTCCCATTTTACAGACAGGACAGGTAGACAGAGAAAGATGGATTGGGTTTACCTGAGGTCAGACCTTTTTCCTGGTTTCTCTGTAGAACAGTGGTGCAGATTATTTTCCATTTGACCTCATATTTCCTCTCAGTGTTTCTCTGCTTCCACCCACCATCACTGCTTTGAAGATCACCCCATTTGTTCCCTGGATAAAAATGAGGGACACTGAAGCCCCTTTTCCACCTGCCTGTGGTTCTGTGAAAACTACCCAACGTTTGGCAAATGGGACCCAGAAAAATTCTAGGAGTTACTCAGATCATAGTACAAGTGAAGTACAACCCTTGCTTTACTCACAGAAGAATTAGCTTGCCAAAATGCACAAATTTAGGCAACTGTGACCAACTAGACAGCACTCTTTAAGAGAATAATTACAGAGTGTATATCAAGCCACTCCTCGTTGGGTTGAGACCCAATTTCATTTGAGCTCTCCCTCCAGTTTCAGTAATGATGCTTCTAGTGTTTTTCATTTGTTAATAATTTTGCAATTGTTAACAACACTCTTCAGTTCTGCTGACTCAGGTAACTCTTACAGAACTGTGTTAGCACAATCTGATCCAATGCCATGTGATTCAGGGTCCTAGCAAGAAGCAGATGATCCATTCCATGGGCAAGTGGAAGGAGTTTAGTCAAGTGTTTACTAAGATGTGAGCTGGGCTCGGGGAGCTCACAAGGGACAGTGAGGCACCCAAAGACCAGCAACAGTAGTGCCCATTACATGCCTCCTCTGAGGGAGTGGACTCTCATGATCAGCTGGCTCAGTGACCTGCAGCTTTCCCCTACCTTGGATAGAAACCTCATGGACCCATGAGGCAGCCCCATCACCACCCTGGTGCCCAGGTCCTGTCCTAGGAAAGGAATCTGCAGAACCTCAGGTGAGCCCCAGTCATCCCAGTGGCCACCAACCTGAGATCTGGTTCTATCTGGCCCATGCCCTGGTCCTTATTCTGAGCTCTTACCCCAAGTTCAAGCACCAGTCCCATTTCTCCAAGCCTGACTACAGAGGATCGTGGCTTTGCAGGGCAGCTGACAACCATATGAGACTGCCCAGTAAGAGTCTGAAGACCCATCCTTGCCACTGCAGACTTCAGGCGGGGAGCATCCTGACCCTGTTTGTATCTCCACAGGCATGCGATGCAGGACAGAAAAAGACTTTCTTGTCAGCAGAATACTTGAATGAACCTTTTCGAGCCCAAAGGGCAATGAGTGTTGTCAGTATCATGACCTCAGTCATTGAGGGTAAGTGTTGCTCATTGGGACATCCATTCTCCATGCTATGATGAGTCTAACTTACATCAAAGGACCCATGTCTGAGTCCTGAGATCCTAAACCAATGTGGGTTTTTTAATGTGCATAATTTTTCAAAAATGAAAGCATGCAATGAATGAAGTGCCCTTAATACATCTCTTATTCAAATTAGCATCTGCTTCATTTGTATTCACAAAACTGGGTTTTTAAAAGTGATCTGGCAGGCACCAGAGAATCCCAGGTCACCTCTCAGGTGCACAGGAAATTTAACAGCCTTTAATTTTCAAGCTTGGCAAAATTATCCTCATGTTTTTCGTGGCTTTAACTTTCACAGTTGTGGCTAAATTTCTGCCTCAAGACCCTGTCATGCTGAACATCAAAAGACAATTTAAGTAAATTAACCAGCCCATTTCACTAAGTCCTTGTGCATTCTGGGTTCTGCCAATCAAGAGGAAATCCACTCAACTCTCCTCAGGAATGTGTCTAAGTTCCAGTTGCTTACATCTAGCCAAGGGGGTGGAAGAAGAGAGAGGGTTGTGCTGGGTCATGGCCACCTATGCACATGGTTCCCATACAGCATGCGGCATCCTGAGTGTGAGGCCTGTGCTAACCCAACCTTTACTTTGCTTTAGGGTAGGGAGAATCTTACCCTCATTGGATTCAGTTATTTATCTTCCCTAGACAATTAAACTATCCTGGGCTGGAGGGGCCTAAGGTAGCCTGGATATTGGCATGTTCCTCAAGAGGGGCCCTGTGTGCTTTCTTCCCAGCCCTGGGCTGAACCCTCATTTGAGGGGAGTGTATAATAAGCAAGAGAAACCCAAGTAATGTTTCAGGAATTGGAAACAAGAGCCAATCTGTGTTTTATTTTCTAAGTGAAGCCAGAGGTGGCAAGGCTTAGAGAGAGAGAGAGAGAGAGAGAGAGAGAGAGACTCATGAGCCCAAAATGGCACAGATGTAGAGTAGAACTGGCTGGTAACGAACCTGATGGAGAAGTCCTGAGGCAACCTCAGGTAGTACCCTGTGCCTCTGCAGTGACAAGAGAAGGGCTGCATGGTGAGTTTGCCCCCCACCCTCCAGTAAAGGCTGCTGGAAGAAATGAGTGTGAGCCAAAGAAGTTATCTGGAGAGGAAAGAGGGAGCAGCCATCTCCATGGATTTTCTCTTGAGGCCTACACCTCCAGTAAAACACATTTAGCAATGACTAAGGGTCAGCCCAACTTTCCACCAAACTTGAGCTCCCCAATCTCAAACACAACTTGAGATAATGAAATTATATCAAACATTGAATTAGCCAAAGCACATCCCCAGGCTGGGGATTTGAAATATAAATTAGATTCATTTATAGGGATCAGGGATAACCTTAGCTTACATTTCTCACATACACGAGTTTGTGTCTTAAGATTTGTGTCTGTGTGCAACAGTGCATACAGACTCTGAAATTTCATTTTCTCATTAATGTTAATAATCACTTTTATTGTATTAATATCTGAACTCCTAACATTTTTCATGGGTACATAGAATTTCACTACACTGCTTTGCTTGCAATTTTTGTGACTCAGGTGTGTTCCTTGGATTTTTTTTTTTTTTTTGCTATTCATCATATGTTAAATTCAGATACCTTGCTTTTTCACTTGTCAGAACTGTTAAGTGTCCTCGTTCTCTCTTTTTTAAATTTATTCAGACATTTATTGAACATCTGTTGTGTGCCTGGCATTGTTCCAGGTGCTGGGAACTCAGTGGTGAATGAGAAATACGCCTGCTCTCATAGAATCCACACCCTGGGGGAGAGGGGAGCACAGATGACAAACACAAATAGATATTCAGGTAGCAATAGGAAATAGGAGAAAAACAAAGTAGGGAAGGAGACAGAGAGCGAGGGATTAAAAGAGGTTATTTTGGATCAGGTGGTTGTGGAAGGACACCACAGCTCTGAATGAAGTGAGGAAATGAGCCAAGTGAGTCTGGAGGAAAGAGTTCCTCAGATATGAGCAGCAAATTCAATTTGCAAGAATAAGACAGGAACAGATCAAATGCATGCCCCCAAACACATTCCAATTTAAGTAAGACCAGGGAAGGTCTTGGGTAAAGGAGAGACAACAGTGTTTAGTGGTTAAGAACACAGATCTGGAGCCTGACTGCTGGGGCTTGCATCCTGGCTCTGCCATTCATGGTAAACTGCATAACCTTGTGCCATTCATGTGTAACCTTGGCTCTCTATTAACTTTTCTGCGCCTCAGTTTTCTCACCAGTAAAATAGTGAAAGTATGCTTATCTTGAAGTGTTTTGTGAGAATTTGATGAGTTAAGTCAAGCACATCGTACATATTCGTCAGATGTTAGCTATTGTTATTCACTAGGTTGTAAAGTCCATGAGAGCAGAGACATGTCTCTTTTGCTCACAGATGGATCCCTAGTACCTAGACAGGCAGTGTGGAGCACACAGGAAACACTTAATAAGAAGCTGCTGAGTCAATCATGATTGAATGTGATGCACAGTGCTTATGTTATTTGGAAGGTGATGCTAATTTATAATGACCTAAATTGATGAAAAAGTAAAACAAAGAGTAGTCAGACATCTTGGGGTTGGACAAATGTCCCCTCAAAGAAAAAGAGTAGACTGTAAGAGTGGGGTAGATAAGGCAGGAAAGGCCATGTCATTTTTAGGAAAATCTGGGAAAAGGTGACTTTAGATTAGGTCAGAGTTTTCCATGCATAGGGCATGTGATCTTCTCCAGCTGGATGTTATGTCCACTATGCCTCTAAGGTACATGAACGCTGCTCATGGTCAGTCATGATAGGATCTACAGGGCCATCTCTTCGGGAGTGATTGTGCCTGAGAAAGTTTGACCTAAGCCAATAAGAGCTTGGTGATTAACTGAGCTCAAGTCAGGTGAACCATCTATGCTTGGCACACAAGCTGACATTTGGCGGTTGTCCAAAGCAAAAGACCAGAAGCAGGATCACAGCCGTGAGAACAGCTGTCCTCACACTCGGTGGGAAAGAAGGACATGGAAAAAGTTATTAGTGGGATGCTAAGTGTCTTGAACGAGAAGTGGAAAATGCTAAGGAGAATAAGGTAAGTTTAGCCTGGGCTCAGGGAAGCATTTCAGGCAGAAAGACTCAGGGTCTTTCTGATGGAAAGATGCAAAGATGGAAAAGCCTGCTGTAGCTGAACACAGAGAGCAGGAGAGAATTAGGCTGAAAATTAGGCTAGCAATGGGCTGGGATCACAAAACCTCCAATACCAAATTAAGGGTGCTGGACTTCATCCCAAGAGCAGTGAGGTGCCCACAAAGGATTGGAAGCAGGGGAGCTACATGAGCATTTTATAAAGGTTATTTTGGATACTTGCAGAGAGTGGTATTAACAGGGAAAGAGTGTTGGCAAGGAAAACAGTCAGGAGGAACCCAGGTGAGAGATAGCCGTGCTTTGTCTGTGGGGTAGTGGCAGTGGGACGGTGGAAAATGGAAGGATGGCTGAGCTGTCTAAGGAGCGTGAGGTTCCGCAGCTGGTGGTACACATGGTTCAGATGGCAGAAGCAATTCAAGGGATGCTGGGCCACGACTCACAAAGGAGGCAGGGACTCCATGGGGGGAGCTGGGAGGGAAGAGCAGCAGTTGAGTCTGAAACATGCCGAGTGTCAGGTGCCCTTGGGACATCCAGGCAGGAATGACTTGATAATGAATGCTTCTAGAACTTAGATGAGGAGGATGGACTAGAGATGCATATTTGATCTCTACTCATGAAGATCTATGATAATTTTGAAGAGATGCAAGGGATAAAATGACACAGACAGGATCAAGTAAGAAGAGAAGTAGGTCCAGGACAGGGTTCTAAGGAACTACAATGTTTAACCATTGAGCAGAAGTGATGGAGCCCTCAGAGGAGACTGAAAAGGACGGTGTGGAAATAGGAGAGGATCCAGAAGAATTCAATGTGGAGTCAGGAGTCCAAATTCCTTCAAGAAGAATAGAAAGGTCAGATAAAATGAAGCCTGAAAAGCATTTGTCTCATGGATGTCTTGGGTGATCTGTGCAAAAGAGGATTGGCAAAGGCCAGATGGAAGGGGCTTCAAGAGTGAGGGAGAGGTGAGGAAATGGAGACATCATGTGGGGACAACTTTTTCCAGAAGTTTGCCTGTGAAGAGGAGAGACAATAAGATTACACTAGAGAGTGGGTAGAGGTAAACCAAAATATTTTTGGTTTTGTGTTTTGAAAGAATTTGTTTGTTTGTTGAGCACATTTACATGCTGATGGGGAGGATCTGGGAGAATGGCAGAAACTGAAGATTAAGGAAAAAGAGCAGAATGTTTTTTGGTAGCATTGGAGTTGAACCCCCAACTCGTTGTGCTTTAGTTATTTTTCACATGAAGTCTCAGTTTTTCCTGAGCAGAACTGGACTGTGATGCTCCTACCTATGCTTCCCGTATAGCTGGGATTATACATGTGAGCCACGTGCCCAGTAGAGAGAGAATTGAACAGATTCCTGAAGTGGCAGGAGAGGATGCATGAGTGGAGACAATGACTGTTATCTCAGGAGGGACAGTTTGCTAACTGTATTAGGAGGAAAGTTCTTTCTGAAGACTCTTCTGGGGAGAAGGCATAATCTTGTTCCAAACTAGTGAGCACACCATTGTTTTCACCTCTGTATTCTCCAGTCAGTCAAGATCAGCAATGTTCATGTTGTGCGCAAGGCTGCATCTCTTTCCCATCATGCCTCACAGACAGGCCGCTTCCTGCCAAAATGGCATGTCCACAAGCTTCCTCATGCAGCTCTGCTTCCTGTGCTTCTTCTTAGTGCCAGAATAGGTCCAGGGAAGCTCCACTTTTGTTCCAAATAGGGATTGTTGATTTTGTTCCCAGGATGTGCCAACTTGCTTTAGAGAACTATGCCCTGCCAGTTTTGACATCTGTACTTTCGAAAATTCGCAGTAGGTAATTAAAACAGCATGATAGTGAAAATAAATAGCCTCATCTGTGGACATGACAATACATGGGCATATATGGGAATAACTGTGTAGAAGTGGTATTTCCAATCCCTGGGGAAATGAGAGATTATCTTCTAAGTAGTATTGATATAAATGACTAGAGGTGGGGGAAAACTAGGTCACTATCTTATTCTTTACACAAAGTAACTTTTAAAAAGTTTTAAGTGGAGAAAGGTGAAACCATGAAAGAAAAAAGAAAACTTGAATAGATTGGTGGAGTGTTGGGGTAGGGTCAGTAATAGTGCTGTGGTTTAAACTCAGGGCCTCGCACTTGCCAGGAAGCTCGCTCTAGCAGTTGAGCCACTCCTCCAGCCTTTTGTTATTTTTTTGAATAGGGTCTCTCTTTTATGCCCAAGCCAATCTGGACCTCAGTCTTCCTATTTACACTTCCTGCACAGATGAGATCACAGGCATGTACACTACACCCACCTTATTGACTGAGATGGGGGTCTCGTGGACTTATTGCCCAGGCTGGCTTCGAAACATGATTCTCCCAATCTTCTTAACTGGGATTACAGGTGTGAACCACCACACCCAGCTCGGATAGGTATTTTTAAGCCTTACAGTGAGAAAGGCTTTATATGCAAAGCATACATGGAAGAAAACATGAGGAAAAACACTGATTGCCAATGAGAAAAGGGTAGCAAAATTTGGGAGCATCTGACTATTTCTATAAAGTCATTTTATTTTGAAAAAAATTAATATTGTAAGAATAACACAAACAGAAGACATAGTTTTCCCATTGGGAAACTATGTCTCTCCCAACAAAAGATCCTCACTGCTCCCCAGCCTCCTGGTATACCTCCTTGTTTCTTCTTCAAGCAATATTCTATGTATATATATATGCACACACACACAAGATTTTATCATCACAAATTAATCTGCTGCTTTTTTCACAGTGTGCTTTATTAGTTATTTATTTTTTATCATTATTGTAAACAATAGACCATCTCTCTTTGTCCACATGGGCTGGTATGTCTACAGGATGCAGCCAGGCAGTGGAATTAATAGATAAACCTAAAGCTATGGAATTACCCTCCATAGAGGTGGCCCCAGTTATACATCAAAGTAGAAATTTGATAGAGCCAACTAGAGAGACAAGCCTAATGGCTCATGGTAGAGATGAGAAACTAGACATAAAATTTGGGGGCAAATCGCATAGAAATGGTTTTTAAGATCATAGGATTCAAAATGATTACCTAGAGAGAGGATGAGAGAGACCAAGGAGAGACTGCTTGAGCTCTCCAGTGCTTAACGGCAGGAAAGGAAGAGGGAGATAGGAGCAGCTACTGAGAAGTAACCACTGATAGGCAGAGAAAACAAGAGATCCTGATGTCCTAGGACCCAGATTTCAAAGAGTCCATAAATTCTGCCAAGTCTGTGCAAGGCTTAGTAAGTGGGGACTGAAAATTAACAATTTGAGTTTGGAAGAGTTAAAATCCAGACTCCAGGGACTACAGAGAGAAGAGGAGGTCAGAAAGTAGAGTAAGCTTAAGTGTAGAAAACTCTTACAGGGAATTTTGCTAGTAAGAGGCAGTAGATGAAGGAGGACATGTGGTGCAGGGAGACCTTTTTCAAAGCTGGATATAATTAAAGAATGTTTGTATGTTGATGGGGACAGTCCAAAATGGGGAGAAGGGGACAATGTGGGCCTTGAGCAGGTGCGAAAGGAAAGGCCCATGCAAGCTAAAGGGGTAGAGCACCTCCTGCACTGAGGGGCAAGAAGGCAGAAAACAGGGTGCACTTGCAGATATCCTGGACACTTGATGACAGAAAGAAAAGAATGTTCTTTTGTGAGTGATTCTGAATGGTGGGTGAGGTAAAGGAGAAGCTCATGAACTGAGAGCAAGGAGTTATAGATTGGAGGACAGACGATTGAGAAGTAGTTGTCTGGAAGGCTGGAGGAGTGGACTGAAATACAGAAACTCAGCAGGGATCCTGGGCAGGGACTGGAGGGGCTCACAAACATGGTTGAGTACTTTGTCCAACCAGGTTCAGCTGGCTGGGCGCAAGTGTCTGCAAACTGGCATTATTCAGAGTTGGTACTTTACCAGGCAAGTACAACGGAGTTGGAGAGAGACAAAGGAATTGAGGATATTTGCAAGAGATGGATGTGAAATCTAAGAAGTATGGCGATGACACAGGTACGGGGCAGTGAAACTGGTAAGGTCAATGAGCTGAGGACTGGATGGAGACAGAGACTGAGATGAAGCTGCAGGACCAAAGGGGCTGGACAGTGGGAAATGGTGACCAGGGGTATGGAGGGCTGAAGCTGGATGTTGAAGCACAATGGTGGTTATTGGTCCAGCAAAGTCTAGGGCATGACCATTGGATGGAAGTCCAAGATGCCTCATGACTGACAGCTGTCATTGATTCCACCCATTCTGCAGAACTCGAGGAGTCAGAACAGAGGTGCCCACCCTGCCTGATCAGCTTGGCTCAGAAGTATCTGATCTGGGAGTGTTGCCCCACGTGGCTGAAGCTTAAGACTTTTCTCTTTGGGCTGGTGACGGACCCCTTTGCGGAGCTCACCATCACCTTGTGCATTGTGGTGAACACTGTCTTTATGGCCATGGAGCACCACGGCATGAGCGGCGGCTTTGAGTCCATGCTGCAAACAGGCAACATTGTGAGTGATTAGGCTGCACTGCCAGTGCCGCCATGTGGGAGCTTAGGGAGGGCTGGGCATGTGCCTCCATCGGGGTGTGCGGAGGACAAGGTGGCCGTGCAGGAGATGTGGGAAACTGGGCTCAGGAAGTCAAGTCTAGAGGACCCTGGCTGAGCTGGTGGGCACTGTCTTGGGAAAACAAACTCAGGAGGAGAGGGAGAGAGCCCTGAGTACGCTGCAGCTGGTTCCCCTTTACAGATGTAGGACAGCCATTGAACCCCCGGAGCAAATGTCACTTTCTCATCCAAAACCAAACTATGGACTTGTCAATTTCCTTCCAGTTTAATTACTCGTATGACTGCAATTAACAATAGCTACCATCAACAATGTCTTTGAAAGGGTAAAGGAGGAAAGGTGAAGACCACAGGAGAGAGGGAACATGGAAGAAAAGTGTGTGGTGTTGTAGCAAAAGCATCCGGGGGCAGAACTTTTCTCTTGCATCCAGTTTAGACATGATGCTGTTTTAAATTTTCCTCCATTTTTTTAGCATTATTTGCTTTTAACAATATAAAACCCACGCTGGATTTTACCTCATGCTGAATAAAGTATCTGACTTAGGAGAGGCAACTGCCTCCAGCCTTGCTCTGCCCACAGGAATAATAATAACAGCTAAGGATTTTCTTGGGTGCTGGGGATGGAACTCAGGGCCTTGCCCATGCTAGGCAAGGGCTCTACCACTGCACCACATCCCAGTCCCACAGTTAGCTATTGGACCTTAGTCAAAGCCAGATGTGATCTCTGATGCCTCTCAGATTATCTAACTTCATTTTCACAGCACTCCTCTATGGTAGGTGCTATTATTACCCTACCTCAAAAATAATTTGAGGCATGGCGATCAAATTATTTGCCCACAGAGATAAGTAAGTGGTAGCCCTGGGATTCAAACACAATACACTGTCTCCCTAGCACACACTTCTTAATCCCAGGCTCTACAACCTTACAGACCTTGCTCTTTGTGTGAGCACTTGATAAGCAGAAGCTGGGAAAGGTCAGGGTCCTGCCTGCCTGTCCATGTAGAGTCCATTCCACTGGAGGTGGTCTGCTTGATCTTCCAACCTGAGGGCACTTCTGAGCCCTTAAACTGTAGCCGTGGGCAAAGAGGGTTCCAGAGGGAGTACAGCCACTCTTCCCTGGACACCTGACCTTCCCAATGGCCCGGGGGGGCAAAGAGGGCTGCAAAAGTTCTGGAACATAGTGGCATTCGCAGAGCTCCTGTTTTAGCAACACCTGAGCTATAGGCCATATTTTATTTAAAGAATAGGGAAAATGGAGAGAGAGAGAAGGACTTACTTCTTTCAGGAAGTCATTGTTAAACCACAGAGAGCCTGTGGAGTACACCTGTGTGCCCACACCCCCATTTCACATGGGAGACCTTGAGGCAAGAGAGAGAAAAGATCTTTCCCACCATGTCAGGGCACAGAGCCATCTTAGAGAGGAAGGGAGGAAAGGAGGAAAGGCAGGAAGAAAGCTTAAGGCGTGTGTTGGTGCCTATGGTAGTCAGGGACTTCATGAATGTTATTTATTTTCATATTACCACCAAGTTTTCATCACCCTCACATCACCAAAGAGCACTGAGTCTCAGAGAGGTTAAGCGTTCTGCCCAAGGTTGCTCAGCTGATGAGAGAGGGACCAGAGTTGACCCAGGTCCTACTGACCTGGGCACCAGGCCTCCACCCACCTGTCCCATCAACTTGCCTGCCCTACTGAAGGCACTCACGGATGTCTCAGCTACACCGTTGCCATCCTGTGGCAATAGACAAGTCCCTGACGTTCTCACCCACTTCATTCTCTATAAGAAAGACGCCCATGCGTCTCCCAGGCATTCAAGAAGACTTGGTGAGAGAATGTAAGGGAAAAGCCCCTGACAGTTTTCATTTTGCTCCTTACCTGTGTGCCCTACTGGCTGTCAGATAACTTGAGCCTGATCTGACATTTCTCAATGTCAGAATTTTGTCCTATTTAAGACTAGAACACTCATAGCCAAAAAATATCTTAGGGACTATGTATTATTGTACTTCTTAGTCACTATTACTGATTAAGATCTGCCAGACCCTTTGTTAAGAATGCCAGAAGCATTAGCTCATTTTATACCCATCACACCAATGAAGAAACTGAGGTAAGAAAACGACATGTTGCTTATCCAAGCTCACACAAGCTAGAAAATGGTGGACCTGGGGTTTTTATCTGGGTCTAGGTTGTCTCACAACCCATGCTTTTTAACTGACCTCTGTTAGTGTCATTATGTAGTAATAGTTATCCTAACAATAAGTACCCCACGCCCACCACCCAAGAGAGAACCTGACGTATGAGTTTCAATGCCAAGTCCCTGAAGTTCAGAAGTTCTGTTCTTCCATACTGACTGTTCCCATCCACAATTCTCAAGAGCCCCCAGACAATATAGCAAAGAAGCAAAAAAAGAGAAGAAGATCTTCTATTTTTATTTATTTTTATTTGTTGAGATAGGGACTTGCTGTGTAGGCCAGGCTGGCCTTGAACTTTCAATCCTCCTGCCTCTGCCTCCCAAATGCTGGAATTACAGGCATGTGCCACCAGGCCTGGCAGGATGTGTTGTTTTGTAAACAAGATATTTTTTGGCTGCTGTTTCATCATTGATTCCCCACCAAGGACCCTGCTGTGATGGAAATGTGTTTCTGTCCACAGGTCTTTACCACATTTTTTACTGCTGAAATGGTCTTCAAAATCATTGCCTTTGACCCCTACTATTACTTCCAGAAGAAGTGGAATATCTTTGACTGCATCATTGTCACTGTGAGCCTGTCGGAGCTGGGTGTGGCCAAGAAGGGGAGCTTGTCTGTGTTGCGGACCTTTCGCTTGGTAACGTTTTCTCCTGGTCACTAGGGAAACTCCTACACAGACCCAGAAAAGATGATACCTGGGGACAGGCAGTCCTGTGAGGACTTCACCAGACAGTTCCTCCTTCTTCTCCTGTCCTTGACGGTGGGAAGGCATGGCACGTCTGCTGGAAGCCTGGAGACTCAGTTTTTTCATGAGACGTTGATTTTATATGAATATTTTCAATATTAGTTACTGATTCAGTTTTTAAAATGATACTCCAAAGGCCTAACAAAGCAAGTCATGAGACACATCAGTGTCATGAACCACTGCTTGATGCTATCTACCTAAATTAATCATGCCCTCCGCAGCCAGGGAAGAGAAGACCAGAGTGGTCCTGCAGCACTCTCTTTCTCCCCATCACCAGAAAAATAAGACACATGTGTAGAACAATGGATTTCTCTAAACAGCTAGAAATGGAGGCAAGGGTAGGCCCCTAGGCTGATGGTCAGTGTAAGATGTAAACACAATCTCAGAAGCAGTGAGATTCCATAACTCCTGTGCCCTGCAAGGGCCCAAAGTTAGTTGTCCAATAAATTATGAATTATTAGGAAAACAGACGCTTGGTGTTTTAAGGTATAAATACAATTTCATTCTGATCCCACCAAGTATAAAATCACAAACAAAAGAAGGCAGGTTTACTTCACAACCCCAGCCTACAGAATTTTTCAGGTGATCTAAAAGTGCTGGTCAACTCACAATTCCCTAGCCATACCCACCAATCACACACTTTCTCCAGATCAGTTCCACTTCCTTCCTGACCTAAGTAGATTTCGTGGTCCATCACTATTTATTATTACACCCTTGATAACAAAGTCAGTCACCATTCCCCTCTACCCTTAAGCATCCTTGTATTTGGTAAAACCCTACCCTAATAACAATCACATGCTAATAAAAAAGAAAGAAAGAAAAGAAAAACCCTACCCTAGAGTCAAAGCCAAATGTCTGTACCTAAACTGTACCTAAACTGTGAGCATTACTGGAAAAAAACACTCAGCCCAGCTGGTCAATTGCATAGTTTTAATTAAGAGAGTTGTTTTTCAGGGCAGTTTCAGATTTTCAGAAAAATTTAGCACAAAGTGTAAGGAGCTCCCTTGTGCTACCATTCACATACAGCACATACTGAGTTTCTATTTACCAGCATCTTCTGCTGGCAAGGGACATTTGTCACAAGTATCTCTTCAGTGGTTTCCCTTGTTCTGAGAATAAAATCCCAAGTCTTTATGGTCATGTACAATGCTCTGCCTCATCAGGGCCTGCTTTCTCTTCAACCATCTTCCTGCCTACTTTGCTCAGCCAGAGAGGCCTCTTCTCCCTTTATCACACACTATAAAACTTTTTCTGGATATGGGTCTTGGTGCATCTAGCCTGTCTGCCTAGAATGCTTCCTGCCCCCCCTCTCCAGTCTTCACTTAGCTCAATAATTCTTACTCTTCTGGATTCGACTTTGTCACCTCCTTACAGAGGACCTTCCGCCCCCACTGTCTAAAATTGGATTCCCTCATCAAATCACCCTGCTCTTCATGGTTTCTAATGACTGTGTCCTGTTGTTCCCTGTTGCTGGAACTGTGTTTCTTGTTTACCATTCTATCCCAAGGGCTTAGCACAAGGCAGCACATAAGTAACAAACTAATAAACTCCTATTGATTGGTTAAAAGAAGAAAGGAAAGGAAAAAAAAGATGGGGAGAAAAGAAGGAAGAAATGGAAATTCCATGTCTTTCTTCTTGCTTTTACCTCCCTCCCAAAATAGCAATGCTTCTCTTCCCATCACTTAGGCACTGTTCCATTAGTCTCCTGGTCTATCTTTGCATCAGTATCACACTGCCCTAATTACGTCTGTGTCTATAAGGCAAGCCATCTACCTGGTGTTACTCTGGGAAGATCTTGGCCCCTACAGTTTGCTAAGTTCCACCCAAAACTCTTGGGTTTTTTTTTTTAATCCATTGAAACTGCAATAACCTACAGGTTAATTTGAGAAAAAAATGCAGCTTTTATATGATGTAGTTTTCTTATCCATAAAGATAGTCTACTCTATTTACTTCAGTCTTTCAGTAGACTTTCATAATTTTCCATAAAATTTTAATAATTTTCCCTATAAGAATCTTACATATTTTTAAATGTTCTTTTCTAACATCTTGCTAGCATTTTTATATTTAATATTTTTGTATCCAGAAATCTTTTTATTAATTCTGTTGATTTGTCTATATAAGCTTTTAAAATTTTTAGCACAAGCTTATTATGTGTAAATAATGAGTTTTGTTTCTTCTTTTCTAATCCTTATGCAATTTGATTATTTTTACTACATGGTTAGAACATCCATTACACCATTGAAAATAAGTGTTCAGACCCAAACATTGCATGCACATATAAATAAAAGAAAAAAACATAAGTGTTCATAGCAGGTGTTGTGTAGTTACCCTGACTGCAAAGAGAATGCTTTCACTATTTCCAAAGTCTGGTTTTAAAAAAAAAAATAATAAAGCCTTTATCATTTTAGGAAGTTCTCTTTCATTATGAATATTTATCACCAGTGGATGTTTAATTTTATCAGACCATTGTTCTGCATGTAAAATAATCACATGTTCTACATGTAAGATAATAACATTAATAATTAGCAATAATGCATTGTATGTTTCAAATGGCTACAAGAGAAGAATTTGAATGTTCTCACCACAAAGAAACGATCAATCTTTATGATCTGCTAATTACCCTGATTTGATCCTTACACAATGTTCATGTGAACTGAAACTTCACACTGTATCCTCTAAGTATGTATAATAATTTTATATCAAAAAAAGAAATCAGAGTCATTTTCCTAAAAAACTCACATTAAGACAATCATATGATTTTCACCTTTAATATATTAAAGGAGTGAATTGTATTAATTGATTTTCTATTGTTAACTTTGCATTACTGGGATAAACTCAACTTGATCATGAAGTATATTTTAATACACTGAAAGATTTAGTTTGGTAATAATTTGCTTAAAATGTTTGCATCCATCTGGCCTATAATTGTCCTTACTTACATTGTCCTTGCTAGGTTTTGGTATCAAGATATCAACGTTATGCTAATCTTCGTAAAAAGAGTTGGGAACTATTCATCATTTTCTATGCCTAATCCCCCCCAATCCGCCCTCCCGCTCACCGTCCAGACACACACCCAGCAACACTGGGGTTTGAACTTCAGCGCTTTGCACTTGCTAGGCAGGTACTCTACAACTTGAGCCATAACTCCAAACCCTTTTTTCTGTGGTCATTTTTAAGATAGGGTCTCATTTTTAAGATAGTGTCTCATTTTTTTTCCTCCTGATCTCAGCCTCCCAAATATGTAGGACTACAAATATGAGCTACCATCCCCTGCACTATGTCTAATCTTTGAGTAAAATTGAAATTATTTGTTCCTTTTAGACTTGGTAGAGTTCACTAGTGAAGCCACCTAGAGGTCAAGATTTTTCATTGCTGATTTAATTTGGGGGGGGGCGGACAGGGGTGGGTATGACACTGAGGTTTGAACTCAGAGCTTTGAGCTTGCAAACCGGGGGCTCTACTGCTTGAACCATGCCTCCCATCCATTTTTCTCTGGTTATTTTAGAGACAGGGTCCCACAAACTATTAGCCTGGGCTGCTTGAACTGTGATCCTCGTGATCTCAGCCTCCTAAGTAACTAGGATTACAGGTGTGAGCCACAGGTGCCAACTTGATTTAATTTTCTTAATGACTATGAAACTAGTTAGGTTTTCTGGTTCTCAAATTAGTTTGGGTAAGTTATTTCTGAGAATGTCTCTTCTTATCTATGTTTTCAAGTTCACTGACATAAAGTTGTACATCCTATGCTCTTTTTTTTTTTTACAGATCTTTGTTACCTGTACTCTTTCCACCTTTTCTTTCTCAATAATGATTTGTGCTTCATCTCATCATTTTTCATTAGTCTTGCCGAGGATCATCAATTTAATTAGTTTTTTTCAAAGAACCAACTTTTAGCTTGCTGATCCTCTCTATATCATTGATGTTTTCCTTTTTCAATTAATCCTGCATCTTATCTTAATTACATCCTTCATTCCACATATTTCATTCTTTTCTAACTTCTTAAGATGCAATTTTCAGTTTATTTTATTTTCCAATATTCATTTGAGACTTCAACTTCCTTCTAAGAACTTCTTTAATCTGTAGAAATTTCTTTTTTGTTTGGTTCTAAATATTTCCTCATTTCAACTTTGATTTATTCTTTGACTCAAAGGTTAATTAGAAATGTGGTTCTTAATTTCAAAACATATGTGGTATTTCTAGTTATCTTTATACCATTGAGTTGTAGCTTAATTGTGTTATAGTCAGAGAACCTTTGCTGTATGATTTTAATGCTTTGAAATTTTTTTTCTTTGGCTCAGTGTATTAAAAGTGTTTTGGCCAGGCCTGGTGGCACACACCTGTCATCTCAGCACTCAGGAGACTGAGGCAGGAGGATCTTGAGTTTGCGGCAAGCTTGGGCTACATAGCAAGACCATGTCTAAAAAACAAAAAAAGACAAAGAAGAAGAAAGAAAGAACATATTCCTTATGTATTTGGAAAGAATGTGCCTTCTGCAATTGTAGGGTTTAATATTTTGCATATTCCCATTGGGTAGAGAAATTCACTGTGTGGTACATTCTACATCCCTGCTTAATAGTGTCTGTTGCTTCTTCTAGCAATTACTAAGAAGGTGGTGTGTAAAAACATCTCTCACTGTGATTGCAACATGACTATTTCTCATATGTTTCTGTCTTGTGTCTGTATTATTAAGTGCATACATATTTTAAGTTGTTGTATCATCCGTAAAATGAAACTTTTATTATTAAGGTTAACCTTCTTCATCTCTAGATTTTTTGTTTTAAAAAAACTACTTTGTCTGATATTAATTAAATAACCTTGCTTTCTTTTGGCTTAGAATTTGCCTGATATATTTTTATCTGTCTTTTATTGATAGCCTTTGTATATCCTGAGGATTTTTATTGTCTCTTACAAATACCATTTGTCAGACTTTGGATTCTTATTCAGTTCTGACAATCCAATCTTTATCTTTTAACCAAAACATCTAGTCTTCCTGTTTATTATAGATATCAATATATTTTGATATGTGTCTATCATTAGATTGATCAGTCTCTCTTTCACCCCCAAATGCCTCCCTCTCCTTAATTCATTTTGGACTGTATATTTTTCCTTATCTTATTTCCCCCTTTATCAACTTGGAAATGAAATACTCTGTTTTTGTTCTTTGAATGATTACTTCAGAAATTTCAATATAAGTCATTTGCTTAGTCAAAGTAAAAGGTTAGCTAAAATCTTCACTTTCCTCCACAACAACTTTGTTTATTCAATTATTGCTTCCCAATTTATTATCATACTAAGCATTTTAATTTTATCTTCTTTTTTTTAAAAAAATGGACTGAGGGGCATAGTTCAGTGGTAGAATACTTGCCTAGGATGCTGAAGGTCCCAGGCAGGTTCAATCTCCAGCATCATACCCACACCCACACAAAAGACCAATCAACAATAAAGAATGCCAGCTATTATGCAAATGGTCTCAAAAACTCAGTCATTGAACCCAATAAAGGTTCATTTATCACTCACTCAAGTCAGTCTGCTGCAAGTCAGGAAGCTCTTACTGGAGCTCCTTCAAGAAGCAACTCCACCAATGTCTGAAGTCATCCTACAGCCTTCAGCGTTTACCTCGTGCCTATGAAAAATGGGAGGCCAAGGTTTCTTAAGTTTTAAGAGATCAAAGGCTTTTCCAGTCAGGGCTTATGGAGGTATTTTTGTGCAATGCAATTCCTTCAAAAATTTAGATGGATTCTATAGTTCCTTGTGCTGTGAAGTGTGCTGTGTGCACACTCAAAGTGCCTTTTTGATGAAGTTCTCAACTCTGCTTTATTTCTTTCCTTTCCTGTCCCCATGCCTTGCTCTCTCAAAACAAACAGTGGCCATAACATTAATGTAATCTTTGCTAAGAGTTGCCTCATTTCCTTAGAAAATTAAAATTTATCTGCTCATGTAAAATTTTAATCCATTGCTTATTGTTTGCAATCTAGAAGTTGTATACATCCCCCAATCCTGAAGGCTCTTAATTTCTGGATTCTATTTCCTTTTCTTATGAATCAGCCAAATATTTCTAAATCGTATCTCTTTCTTGGACCATCTTTCTTGTACATAGTCAATTATAACTAATACACACTACTAAGGTTTTTCAGACCCTTCTCCCAGGGTTAAAAGCACATAAGCTCATGACCTACCCCAAGAATTACTGTGATATATATTATCTTTTGCTGCTTAGTGACATAGATTGACACTTTCCAAGCCTTTTTTATCAGTTTCCTTATTGTCCACCACACGATTGATCACTAGGCCAGTGCCACACAATCAATGCTTCTGAAATGGCAATACCTCTTTACAATATACCAAATTTTACATTCCTCAAAATGATACAACAAGCTACAGGGACACCCTTAAGTCTGTGAATTAGCATAACAGAGGTTTAGGTCTCTTAGCATGTTCAGTGCTGGTTGAGATGTTCTCCTGGGAGTGTTTTTTCCAAGTAGTGACTTGGGGATTCAGGATTATACCATTTCGTGACCTCTTCACCTTCAATGGGTGGCCCCTGTGGTGACTGTGGAAACAGAAGGGAAAGTATAGAGGAGTTTATGGTTACGCCTGAAAGTAATGTACACTAAATTGTCTCCATCTCCATTCCATCCATCAGAACCCAAGGACTACAAACAATAACTATTTGCAAGAGATACTAAAAAAAAAAAAAAAAACAGTCGTTCTTCTGGTTTAGGAGGAGAAAAGTAGATTCTCATATTTATTTAATTTGGAGCTGAAGATTGTTTATTTTATTGACCCCTGTAGCTAAGATTTTGTCTAGCTTTTTCTATGGCTACTTGATGGAAACCCAATATACTCTACATTCAAAATATCTTCTGATATTTTGCACAACTGCAAGACCCATTTCCTCCCCAACTGGTGACCTCCCCAGAAGAGGATAGATATTAGACCTACTTTTCGTTCTATTCTAGAAATAAAGCAGCCTCACTAAAGAAAGCTGAAAGATACAGAAAAGCTTAATTCTAAGATAAGAAATTGGCTTCCAGTCAGTTTCTACCCAAATATATTCAGTGTTACCAACTTGGTTTACTTCCTTTCAGCTCTTCTCCCCCTAAATAGAAGTTGTTCTATGAATTCTGACATTAACTAAAGAAATGGTTTGATTATGGAGAACTATTCAGCAGCTACTAAACACAATTGTTTATAATTGTTATGTAATAATATGAAGTTCTTTTGATATAATACTAATCTAGGCAATAAAACATTTAGATAGAGCTACTGGGTGGGGACAGAGGCAAAGGTTGTGTGGATCCTTTGGTCACAGAACCTCCTCTCCTCTTCTACCCATGCACAAGAGCTTGTGGGGCTCTGCAGCCCCAGCAGCAAGCACTCCCAAAATGTGTTGAATGACTGACCTACAAGTAGGGGCCCCCAAGCCTAGATAGCTCTGGGATCAGCAAGTGGCCAGATTATTATAAAAATGACAAAAAAAATGGAAGATGATTCAATTCATGTCCTTATGCTTATAGTTTAACAATAATTTAAGCATGGGTTTCTTTCTAAAGAGACTCTAATATTAATTTCTAACCCTCACCATTCCCCCCAACACTAACTACTTGAGGAACCCATGGAAACCCTTAGCCTATGCATTAAGGTGAGTGTCATTACCAGATGCTTTTGCTCAGGTGCCAGTGAGTGTGTCCCTGTGTCCTTCACTGTCCCCAGTGGTGGTGCTCAAGGTTCTATGGTATGGTAGGCAACCCTAGTCTGGCCTCTGCATTTCCACATGTCCAGATTTTACTGAGAACAGAGACTTTTATCAGTTGTGCTATTTAGGAAATTTTGAATTCCCCCAGTATTCTACCCAGAGAACTCAGTCTAGTGACTAGTGCTCAGATTTCATTTGTGTTTGCCAGCTGCCGCTGTCCAGTCCAGAGTTGGTGTTTTAAGCTCTGCTTCCAGCATAAGGAGAGTAACTTCCAGGTTAGGTCTAAAGAGAACCTGGAAGCACAAAAAGTGTGGATACAGACTTGCTCTGTAAGGCATTGAACCTGCTCCCCTTTGGTTTGCTCACGTTGTGTGGGTGATGAACTTGTTGCTGGGCTGTTGTCCTCAGCACTGTGTCCTAACAGCTAAACCTGAGCTTGGCTCTTTGTATGTGCTTCATAAACCCACCCTGACTGACTGACAGTGGAGCCTGCATATCTTTCTAGTGAATTAAAGATCCACAAAACTGTGTTTTTAAATGTTTACACATCCTTTTTATCTCTTGTGGGCCTCAGCATATTTAGGTTTACAATGAAGACTTTTTGAGTCTCCATCTAGTCTCAGCAGCTAAACCACATGTGGTGACATGCTTGGCAGGCATTTCGTAAGGTGGAGAGGTTGGTTGGCCAATTCAATGAATGCAGCAGGAATACTAATCCATGCAGATTCAGAGTAACAGATGTTGGAGTAACAGATGCTGTCTACTACCCCAATATAAGAAATGCACTCAAAGATGGTTACTGGTGGGCCATGCTGTAACCAAAGGGGACTTGTCTGTCCTCAGACTGTTCTCACTTATGTACGAGCCCCATCATACCTCAGGTCACCCTCACAGAACACATCCCCCTCCCCCACCCTGGAGTGATCGGGATTCTGGCTATAGAACAGAGTGAGTAAAGGCAAGTCTTAGTGTAAGACCCCTGATACTTAAGGACTATAGTTTTGAGCAACTGCTAAAAAGAAAAGCCTCTCTGAATAGCTTCCAGGGAACACCCCACCTTCATGGGGTGAGTTGCCTTGAGATTTCTCAGAACTTTGGTTTCCACCCATGACTTAAGACCAGAGGTGATGGGAAGAGCTGCCAGGGCCTGACACATCTGTTTCTCCACAGCTACGCGTCTTCAAGCTGGCCAAGTCCTGGCCAACTTTAAACACCCTCATCAAAATCATCGGCAACTCAGTGGGGGCGCTGGGGAACCTGACTCTCATCTTGGCCATCATCGTCTTCATCTTTGCTCTGGTTGGCAAGCAGCTCCTTGGGGAGGACTACGAGCACTACCGACATTTCATCACTCCGCCAGGTGACGATTGGCCCCGCTGGCACATGCATGACTTCTTCCACTCATTCCTGGTTGTCTTCCGGATCCTCTGTGGAGAGTGGATTGAGAACATGTGGGCCTGCATGCAGGTCAGCGAGGATTCCGTCTGCCTCGTCCTCTTCTTGACCGTGATGGTGCTGGGGAACCTGGTGGTGAGTAGCAAGCCCACTGGGCCTGGTCACAAGCCTTGATCTTGCACTTTTTTATGCCCACATTGCCCCCCTTGATTGAAAAATCTTCAAGCCCGATGTAGTGGTACATGCCTGTAATCCCAGCACTCCAGAAGATGAAGCCGGAGAATTGTGAGTTCAAGTTCAGTTGGGGCTATGTAGTGAGACACTATCATAGCCAAAGCAAAACAAAACAAAGTCTTTAGAAAAACTTTTCAAAATTGTGTGGGACATGACTTCTGGCTTGCAGGAACAATCTCGTAAGACAGAGGAGGAAGACCCTAGAGGACAATCCCCCTCCACCATCTATCAGCTGGGCCACCCAGAGCAAGAGACTGAATGTCCCCACGCCCTAACTTCCTTAAAATCAAGAAAACAGTGTTTATGCATGGGTTTACTAGGGGAACTGAATTATAGGAGATGACCTGCAAATTTCCTATGACACTGTCAGAAACTCAATAAACGGTAGCTGTTTGTTGTGGAGGGAAAAAAATTCTCCTCACTCTGGTGTACTCAGAAGATACTTTTCTTCAGGAGAGTAATGACTGATTTCTTCCAGCTGAGTGGTCCCAGCTAGGAGCAGGGAGAGGGAACCTGACCCAAAAGAGAAGCTAGACAATACTCAGCTGATCACACCTTTCAAACCTGCTCCAAGCTTGCTGGGAGCCCCTCTTAGAGGCCTGCCTGCAGGTTAGCCCCAGCGCTCCTTCATCCCAGCCGGGCTCTGCACCCTCAGTCTGTGCCCCATGCCCCACAGAAGAAGAGCACAAAGTTGGAAGTAGTAAGATGTGCCCAGAATTTCAGAGTGACAAACAGAACCCAGGGCAGGCCCAAGCCTGCTTCTCTCTGTTGCCTTTGAGTGTCCCTTTCCTCAGCAGGGTGACCCTCCACTGTGGTGAATGTACTTTCAAGCCTTGCCAACATGACCCACAGGGCAGGTCACACTGGGACATATCCAAGAGTCCCCTCCAGTGCTCTCAGAGGCACCCCATTGCTGGAAGCAATGCATCCAGGTGGGCAGGGAGAGGCCCAGGCTGTGACTGTCCTGCCATCCACTGAGCAGGGGTCCAAGGAAGGGCTCCGTTCATTCATTGATCCACCGTCCCTTCCTTCCCTCTCTTCAGGTACTCAACCTTTTCATTGCCCTGCTGCTGAATTCCTTCAGTGCTGACAACCTCACAGCACCAGAGGATGATGGGGAGGTCAACAACCTACAGGTGGCCCTGGCACGGATCCAGGTGTTTGGCCATCACACAAAGCAGGCCATTCGAAGCTTCTTCAGTAAGCCCTGCCAGCTCCCCTGGCCCAAAACAGGACCCACGCTGGTGGTGAAGCCCCCAGTGTCCAGCTCCAAAGCTGAGAACCATACTGCTGCTGATGCTGCCGTGGTGAGCCCTGGGCCACTGCCGGTTCTCAGAAGCTCCAGGGAGGACCACAGTGACTTTGTCACCAACCCTAATGTGTGGGTCTCTGTGCCCATTGCTGAGGGTGAATCCGATCTCGATGATGTGGAAGATGATGGTGAGCAGGGTGGTCAGAGCTCCTGGCAGAAAGTGAACCCCAAGGAGCAGGTAAGAGTTCTCCTCAAGGGACAGCCACAGAAAGTAGGGAGGGCTTCAGGAGAGTGACTCAGGGCAGAAGGGAAATTATGATAGAGGCTTTCCAGCATCAAGGCTGGCTCAGCCTTGAAGAGTCCCTGGCAAGCCAGGCATAGAAGACCTTGGCATACCAAAGCTGAGGATCTCCAGAGGAGGTGGTGCCTCAGCAGGGTCTGGAAGCAGGGTCAGGACCTCCAGGCAGATAAATGAAGGCAGGAGCAGCAGGTGAATCTCAGGCCATGCTGAGGACCTTGGCCTTGCATTGTCTTCCACACAGCTGCCCCTTCACTCTGCCCAGCCCAGGTCCTCTACAGGAGATGCTAATGATGGGCCTCTCATAACAGAATCGCCCAAGAGCAGACTCACCTAATCTCCACCAGCATCCGAGGACGTCCTTATTTGCAGAGCTTATCCCAACAAGAGGCTTCATAGGGAAATGACATTCCTTTGGCACCAAAGAACTGAAAGCACATTTCAGCCTTTTGATAATGTATGTGTTTAAATACTTTGCACAGTGCCTTACGGCTTTAAGCTAGTATCTCAGCTCTCATTAACCTTCTGCACAATGTGGGGAGCAAGGATCCCAGTGGGGCCCTAGGGACACACAGGGCTGCTGGCCAGGCCATTAAGTGGGAGTCTGCATCTCTCCCACAGCTTCCTCCCTGCAGCTGTCACTTCTGTTCCAGCAGCTGCTATTATCAACTGCCATTTTTCACATGCCTTTGTCTGGGTGACACCCGAGGGCAGGGCGTCACTTCCCTAGAGTAAAGAACATAAACTCTGTAAGGATTGTCTGCCACTCGGGGGCATGTTCATTTACTTTGGGATTATTTTTGGGGGGACAGGGGGGATGGCCAAGTTCAATACCAGTCTGACTTCTGGACAAGTAGTAATGGTCATAGCTAGCATTATTGAGCCAAATACCTCCTGCAGAGTATTTTATAAGCATTAACATATTTAGTCATCAAAATAACAGAATGAGGTAGATCTTGCCTCCTCAATTTTACTAATAGGGGAGAAAAAGATCAAGAGGTTAAATAATTTGCCTAAGGTCACACAGCTTCTAAATAACACCAATATATCTGTTTATAGAGTCTTCATGCTCATTTCACACAAGTGTATGTTTGTACATACCTATGTATCTATGAATGTATGTGTGTATGCTAATTGCATATATGAAGTCCTTAGCTCTGGAAGCCTGTATATGCAAGACTTTTCAGATTTGGCAGTGATCAGCTGAAATTGACTCAGATACACAGATGGGACCCTCTCTCACTAGCAGGAGCACCTGCAGCAAGTCAGGAGGTATGAGGGCTACCTGGCATCCAGGAGCCCAGGCTCTGGAACATCCTCTGAGGACCTGACTCCATACCTAGGTGATAGGTGGAAAGACAAGGCTGTTCATCAGATCCCTGCAGAGGTAGGTATGTGAGCTTCCTGGAGAGGTTGGCTGGACGCTGACTAATGGGCTGGTGGCCCTGAAGGGCAGGGTTGGCGTGGGGTATTCCATGCCACACAAAACCGTGTAGCCCCATTTCTCATTCTGGGAATTTTTCAGTCCCTCCCAACCTTGGGCAAATCTGTACATTTCAGCTTTCACAGGATATTGACAAAAACTTCCCTCCACTCAGCTGGTGGAGGGGCAGGAAGAAAGAGTGAGGGCCACAAGCTGTAGTGACTAGAGCAGTTCCTGAACCCCTCTGAGCCACTGCTTCTTCATCTGGGAAGCTGCATGGTAATGTCTATTGCTAACATCGTTCTGAGGCTCAAATGAGATGCTGTTTGTCAAGCATTTAGTTCCTGCCTGAAATGAAGTAAGTGCCCAGAAAATGACAGCCAAGAAGAAAGGAAACAAAAGAGTGGCACAAAAGAAAGTCAAATATCTTTCAGAGGCAGAAGATAGAAGTTGGAGGTGCACGTGGATGAGGAAGTCTTCCCTGTGACACAGTCTGCCCCCTGCTTTTTGTCCACATCACTCTTTGTAGCCAAAAACATACTGGGGCTGGAGAGAGGCTGTCTACAGGTGAATTCTGAGCTGACAGCTGATAAGCACTGAGCAGGGAGAAGTCTTAGGTTTTACCTAGAAAAGATAAAAATAAATTCGAACTTTCAGGTGTCACTTAGAAAAATCACAGAGAGAAAGAGTCTGTCGGGAGAGAGGTGCTCGTAAAGGTTTAGCATCCTTTACTGCCACTGCACTCAATTCAAGAATTGAACTTGACACCTAGCCCTTGAGTGTGGATTGTGTGATAGGCAGTGGGCTGGGCAAACAAGGCAGACATAATTCATCCCCAAAGTTATCAAGCCCTTCAACATGAGGAATGTCAGCTGCTGGCTGTGTGCCTCTGGACTGGGCTGACACAGCAAGCCAAGATAAGAGAGTGGGCTGAGATGGGGCTCTAGAGCTGTGGGTGAGCACCAGCCACTTGGTCCCCAGTGGGTGAGGATTGTCACATTCTGCACGTGGACGTCATGTTCCTTTCTAAGTGTTCTAAGGTCCCTCCTGGTTATTTTCCTTACTCACTGTTTTTAGTACACAACTCCTGGGTGATGGTTTTAGTTTTGTTTTTGTTTTCTTGTTCATGACCCTAGCCAGGCAGGGAGGGGCCCATCAGCGACAGATGGAGACCCACCCCACCATTTGGGTCCATTAGCCAAGCTATCAGGTTTACTAATATGAGAGCAGCTTCGACTCCTAATTGAATTCATCTAGAGACATTACAAGGCTAGCACTGCCAGGAGGGCAGAGGGCCCCTGCGGCATTGCTCGCAGATTAAATATTCAAGTGCAGTGAAAGCCGAGCATCTTTACCGTGTAATTACAGTGTCTCGGCCCATCACCAGCACTCCATCAGGGCCTGGAGGATTCTGTCAGGCGCAGCTAAGCCACTGAGGCTCCATGGAGAGCATCAGTGTCCCAGGCCTCCGCTGCTGAGGGCCTGAACATGCCACAAGGCCAGGGCAGGCCACTTGTGGGACCTGGGCTCTGAGAAGCTCACCCTGAGACTTGGGGATCTCAGCCAGTTGAACTTGTTGTGGCCATGTGTGAAGAGGCACATCAGCCCAGTTCACTGCCCTGGGCCTCTGTCCTGCAGGGGGTGGATGACACGAGCAGCTCAGAGGGCAGCACAGTGGATTGCCCAGATCCCGAGGAGATACTGAGGAAGATCCCTGAGCTGGCGGATGTCCTGGAGGAACCAGATGACTGCTTCACAGAAGGTAGAGGGGACCACAGAGCTCCTCACTGATGTGAATTAGGGCCAGGGGCTAGTTCAGCACTCACCTGGGCTCCTCCATGTCCAGGGCTCTAGCCTGGGGTCCAAGGAGGCAGACAATAGGGCCCCTCACAAGCCTCACTCTGGGCTCAAGGGCACCCATGCCAGACACAAATGCTAAGGCTCACAGCACCACACACCATGTGGATGGATACATTGCTTTCCTTCTTTGGTGCACTCAGGAATACCTCACTGGAAAAAGTAGTCACACCTCACTGGAAAAAGTAGTCACTACCATAAACATAACTATGAACTCTTGATTTGGGACATAAAGAACACAGAGGAGGGCTGTGTCAAGTCTGTTAGTGGATTTTCTTTCACCCTGCAGCACTGGAAATTGAACTGTGGGCCTCATGCTTGTTAGGCAAGTGCTCTAGAGTCAGGCCCCAGTTGTTTTACTTTTAGTTTGTTTTTCAGATTGGGTCTGGCTTTTTGCCTGGTCCACTTTGGACTCTGATCCACCTACCTCCACCTCCAAGTAGTTGGGACCACTTGAATGTGCCACCATGCCTGGATTGTGTTTTGGTTTTGTTTGTTTGTTTGCAGTACTGGGGTTTGAACTCAAGGCCTTCACTTTGAGCTACTCCACCAGTCCTTTGTTTGTGAAGGGTTTTTCGAGATAGGGTCTTGCAAACTGTTTGTCCGGGCTGACTTCAAACCGTGATCCTCCTGATCGCCGCCACCTGCATAGCTAAGATTACAGGCATGAGCCACCGGCACCCAGCTGGATTGTTTTTAAGATAGGAACTCACTAATGTTTTGCCCAGGCAGGTCTCAAACTGTGATTCTCCTATCTTCCTCTCCCAAGTGGCCAGAATTGCAGATGTGCACACTACGCATGGTCCCAGAACCTGTATCTTACTGATTATATGATAAAGGTAGTTGTGGCCTCAATAATTTTAAAGAAGTAGAAATTAGTGGGGGGAATGCTTCATTGACTTTCTAATTCCATTTGACCTTGGGTCAAGCCCCATCCCAGCCATTATGGTAGTCACCCAGTCCAGTGTGGACTCAGAGCATGGACCCTCAGATACCACCAGGCACATGCCTCATGCTTTGTCAGTCTTCTAGAGATGAGTGGACATAAGGACAGGGACCACTGGTATCATCTACAAGAAGGAGGGTGACTGGGGAGGGCATTAGACTGGGCAAGATCAACGATATGGAGGAATACCTCGTGGGCTAGACTGAAAAACCAGCTGACAGGGACTGCTCCTCTCATATCCCAGGAAAGAATTGCCCTCCAAAGTGGATTTCTCAGCAGGGTGGTTTTTCTGCAGGACTGAGCAGAAATGATCCTAAAGGCAGATCACTCACTACCAGCCACCTCTCCCTACAGGCTGCATCCGCCACTGCCCCTGCTGCCAAGTGGATGTCACCAAGTTTCTGTGGGTGGTGGGCTGGCAGCTGCGCAAGACCTGCTACCGCATCGTGGAGCACAGCTGGTTCGAGAGCTTCATTATTTTCATGATCCTGCTGAGCAGTGGAGCGCTGGTAAGGGAAGCACGGTTCCCACCAGTTGGGATGTCCTGCAATCCACGGGCTCTGGAGCTGCATGAGTGGGCTCCCCTGAGTCCCAAGCTGAAAGTCCTCATCCTGGAGTTGAAAGAGAACTGCAACCCAGCACTTCTCTGAACAGCAGGGCATGGAAGGTGCTCAAGGCACTCATGTCATGGCCAGCTAAATCTGGCTGCAAATGTTGCAAACAGTACATGTATGCATCCTACTTAAGGGATGGAGAAATTGAGTCTCAAAGGGTTCAGGAGACTTGTCCAAGATCACTCAACTTGGCAGTCGCAACCTAACTTTCATGGCCTTGATTGATACGAAAGCCCCTGTGACCTTTCAAACACACTGGCTTTCTCTGAAGACCTCATACAAAGACCATCCATCCTTGTCTTACCAAACCACTTGTAAATGCTATTACTCCTTCAGAGCTCACTAGTAGCACTTCGCAAAGCTTAATCAGTGGAAGAGCTTGTTAAAGCACAGGTTCTTTTTGGAAGATCAGGAGTCAGACCTGAGAACCTGCATTTCCAATAGGCTCTCAGGTGAGGCTGATGTGCCAGACATGAACCACATTCTAAATAGCAAGGCCTGAGAAAAGAGACACTTAAGAATTTAGAGACACTTTGGAATCCCCTGTCCTTGTAGGACAAGTAAGGTTCTCTCTCTACCCAGGCTTAGACCCACTGCATAATCTCAAATGCTCACCCCAAGGTCGACATAGGAAGGCACTTATCATTTGCAGTTGTCCATATTTTATAGGTGAGGAAGTTGAAGCCCAAAGACACAAAGGGACCCACCTGGGGCCCCAGCTAATTCCTTCAAGGGCTAGGACTAGAGCTCCACTCTCCTGCTTCACAGTTACAAGTGCCTTCACCAGTCTTGCTCCTCCTGTCTGGCTTACTCCCTAAAAACAATCTACTAGGTACCAGATTCCCAGGAAGGGTGATGGAACTGCTCCGTGTTTTGCCCCAGTCTTAGATACATGTGCAGGTGAGGGGCATGGCACCATCTGAGAGGTGGGAGGAAAACAAGGGCATCAATGACACAAAGGCAGAGGAGAAGAGTTTCCTGGGCAGGGCTGGCCTGCCACCTTGGGTGTGGTGAGGGAGGGTGGCAACACCTGAAGGCCTATAGTGATCATCTGTCCAACTGAGCTGCAGCAACACAAAGGCCAAGGAGCAAGAGGTAGCAGGTGGGGCTTTCTTCATACTTTCCCTTCTCTCTTTCCTGTCCTACCTGGTAAAAGTGACCATCCAGCTACTGCTGGCCAGCTGCCTTCCTCATTACCTCACTGGCTCATGTCTTTCCACATGGGCCTTCCTTCTACCATTCTCCCTTCCTCTTGCCCTTGCTCCTCTCTTCTCTCTCTCCCTCTCCTCACACCCAGTGCTACCCTCCCCATTCCCAGGAGGGCACTCAGATCCTGTGACAGCTACTCAGCCCCAGTGCCACCCCAGCAGCTTCCCTTCACTCCCTGTCTCCTTCCCCATGGGACCAAACAGGCTTGCACCAAATTTAGTCTTCTTTATGCTCACTCTTTGAGTGCTTTTAAAAAAAATAACATGAATTTTCCTCTGACAAAGTAGAATGCAAAAAAAGAAAGGAAAATACCTTGAAAATTACAGAAAAAAGTAAAGGTAAAAAAATCACCCATTTTCCTATCCTTCAAACAGAAGCTCACTTTGGAAACATTTTAGATTACCTCCTTCTCTTCTTTCTTATGCATAGAATACATACATATTACAAAAATAAAAACACATCTGTGCATTCTGTAATTTCTCAGTACATTTTCTCAGGAAATATTCTCCTACGATCTCACTGCATGGCTGTACCATATCCTAGGATAGGAATGTACCATAATTTATTCAAGACTCCCTATGTTTGCTTTGAATATACATTGCATAGCCCAACCTCAAGATCAGAAGATATTAAATGACTTCCCATCTTGGATTTGATCTGACATGCTGAACACGATGTAAGGTTTCTTGAGCCAGGAGTTTACCAGGGAGCACTCTCAAGTGAAGGAAAGGAGGGGAGCAGGTGGAACAGAAAAAAGGAGCTAAGAGAAGATGAAATACTGCCTCAGCAGATCCCACAGGGAGGCCTCTTGCACGAAGGGCATCACAGACTTGTCCAACATTAAGACAAAAGGCATGGCATTGTAAACCCACATATCAGTGGTCATAGCCAAGCTTGCCTAGGCCAGAAGTGAGAGTCACTAACCTGTGAAGCATTTCCCAAGGTGTACCCAGTTCCCACCAGACCAGAGAGCCACTCCCAGCACCTGGGAGATGGGGCAGTCCCTCGTGAAAAGGTTCAGGTGGGTACTAACAGCATCCAGTGTCCTTAGGACAAGTCCTTGAAGACAGAATTACTGCATTTCTAAAACTCTGAAGTCATGTTACCAACTTGACTTCCAAAAGACTGCCCTGCCAGTCCCCTGTGAGAGTGAGTTCCCCACAGATGCACCAGCACTGAGCAACCCTTTCCATTTCATCTTCACCAATCTGGTGAAAGAAAACAACCAAATCATCTTCTTTTCATCTGAGTTTCCTTGATTACCAGAGAGCTAGAACATTCTTTTTTAGAGGTTTTTTAGTGGCTCTTACTTTCATTTTTTGTGACCCGCCTGTGAACAGCCTTCAATGCTTTTATTTTTAAATCAAGTCACTGTTAGCATCCCTTTGGTTCATTTCCAAAATCCAATTTGAGAAGGTTTCCTTTCTCACTTGCATTCAGCAACCTGCATAGTCCTGGCAGGCCCACATGTCCCTGCTCCCTGAAGAAGTCTTGGTTTATGTCCTACAGTGCCACCTCCACTATCCACCTCTCCTCCCAGGGCAGAGAAAAGAAAGTTGCTCCCAAGGGCTGTGTTCAGGGCTGATGGGTTCCTGTGCTGTCAGGCTACACCCAGTACAGACTGTGGTTCTTCTTCCTTCCATGCAGGCCTTTGAAGACTGTCACTTGGACCAGAAGCCTGTGGTGAAATCTTTGCTGGAATACACTGACAGGGTGTTCACCTTTATCTTTGTGTTTGAGATGCTGCTCAAGTGGGTGGCCTATGGCTTTAAGAAGTACTTCACCAACGCCTGGTGCTGGCTGGATTTCCTCATTGTGAATGTGAGTGGCCCAATAAGCACACATGGGGCTTGGGCTTCTCACCATTGGCTAATGGTGACTTTGCTCCACTGCTAAAGCTCTGCAGCTCGGAGAGCTGTGGTATGTGAGTACAGAGAATTTGCCCAACTCCTGGCTCTATGATCTCCAGCCCTGGCTACACTTCAGAATCACCTGGGGTGCTCTTAAGAACACAGTGTGCAATCACCACTATCCCAGAGATTCTGATCTTTCTAGCCTTGGCTGGGGCCATCAGTAAAAGCTCCCAGGCATTTCCAAGGTACAGCTGTGGTTGTGAACCACTAAGCTGATACCACTGGCTTCTCCCTGGTGGCAAAGGGACAGAAGGTCCTGTTGGAGCTGGGATTCATTTATGTACACTTGCAGTCACCTATGGCCACCAACCCCTGCATCCCACACATTAGGCTTGTGATTCCTCAGAGCCATCTTTTCCCTCATTCTGAACTACTACATTGCCCTATCTGAAGAGATTAGACCACTGCCCTCCCTGGCAACCTGAATTATTTGTTCATGCTGTTTAACTGAAGGTTCCTGCAAGCAGGGGGAGGTTTGTGCTGTGCTTGTCTCTGTCTCCTCCCCTCTGGCAGTCACAGCACCAAGGTCTGCACATCAGAGGTGTCAGGAAATGTGTCTGCATTTTGTGTTTGCCTCCTGAAGCTGGATGGGGTCCAGTACAGAACATTCTGTCCAGCCTCCTATGTTGGCAGGACCTCCACAGCAGGCCTGTGTATGAAATTCTCTTCTTTCCTAGCAGAATCAGGCCACTGTACCACAGGGATTCGCTGAGAGGCCTGAAATCTGAGTCACAAGTGATAATTTTGTGCATATAAAATAATTAGTCATAAATGAAAGGAAAATGTTTCATTCTAACTCCCTCCTGTTAGGGATACAGTCAATCTTGCCTATGTAGACCTCACTAATTTCAGTTCTGATTGCCTTACATGGTCACTCCCTCATTCTACCCATCCTCCTACAGAATCTTCCTTCCAACCATCTGTCCTTCCTTCTGTACATCCCTCGTTCCATCTACCCAACCATTCACTCTTCTTTTTTCTTCCTCCCATTCATCCATCCTTACTTCCTCTATCTGTCCTTCCTTCTGTACATTCCTCCTTCCAACTATCCAACCATTCACTCTTCCTTTTCCTTGCCTCCCATTCATCCATCCTCACTTCCTCTATCTGTCCTTCTAGTCTTTTCCTTCCAGCTGTCCATTCCATTCTTCTTTTCCTCTTCCTTCCTGCCTACTGTTATGCTAATCTTTCTTCTATCCATTTACTCATTAGTCCTTAACCCTTATATCTTCACATCTTTTGATTTATCCTTCTATCTAAATACTCAGTCATCTAACCTATTCACCCACTCATGCATCTTCTATCCAAGCATCCTTCTTTTCATTCATCCTTCTATGCATTTATTCTTCCATCCTTTCATTCTTCCTTTAACACATCCATCTCTCTTTCCTTTATTTCACTCATCTATCCACTCATCTCCTTTACTTCCATCTATCCATCCAATCAACCTTCTAGTCATTCACTAATTTCTTCCATTCATCTATCCTTCCAATTCTACATCTTCCCACATATCCATCAATCATTTTACCCAGCTATTCATTCTTCCCCATCCATCCATCCATCCATTCCATACATCCCTATTCCCTACTTCCATACTTTTTCATTTCTACTTTGCTTATTTCTCCCATCCTTCCATTCAACTGTCTATCCTATTCATCTTTGTAATCTTTGGTCCATCCTTCTGTGTGATAATCCTTTCAATTTTCCATCCAACTGGTCTTCCTTTTTTCTTTCCTTCTTTTCATCTATTCCATATACTTCTACCTGTTCTTCTACTTATTGAATGTTTATTTGAATCTACTGGATATAAGATTGTTTTATTAAATACCCTGAGATGTGCAGAAGCAATAAATACTCAACTGGGCATGGTAGTACATGCATGTAATCCCAGCACTCAGAAGACAGAGGCAAGAAGATTTTGAGTTCAAGGTCAGCCTGGGCTCCATAACATCCATAGCAAGATGAGAGAAAGAGAGAGAGAGAGAGAGAGAGAGAGAGAGAGAGAGAGAAGGAGGAGAAGGAGAAAGAGAAGGAGAGGAAGAGGAGGAGGAGGGAGGGAGGGATGAAGGGAGGAAAGAAGGAAGGAAGGAAAGTTTCTTATTGATATGGTGGATGCTGCTGGGGGCAGCATTGTGGGGGCAAAGAGACATGAGTGCTCTTCCACTTGGGCTGGAGTAACTGGGAAAGCTTCATGTAGGTAGATGTAAGATATAGAAATGAACAGGAGCAGAGATGTGCAAGAGGACTGGGGAAAGCCAATCCTATTGAAAGGAAGATCTTGAGCAAAGGCAAAGACACAAAGTATTCAAGAAACAATTTGATTTGGGTAGAACATATAGGTAAAATATGACTAGGAAAGTAGGTTGTGGCCATATAATACAAGCTAAGCCTGGATCTTATCCTGAGGGTGTTAAAGTCCCAGTGAAGGTTTGAAGTATAACAGAGCCACAATCATAATTGGGGATGCAATAAAGTATGCACCAAATAGATGCATTTCTGGGGCTTGGTGACCAGTTGGGTAGCTAGTGGCCTGAGCAGTGGGAATAGAGTAGGACTTGGGTTGGTGGCCTTTGCTAGAGCACTGTCTGCCTCAGCTGCAATTTTGGCACATGAGGCAGCCTTCCCAGGGGAATGACTGAATGGGGTCCAATAAGGAACTGGCCCCAAACCTCCCTACCCTTAGCCAACCAGACAGTTGGGTGCCACCTGACAGTTTCTGGAGTCTTGTGAGAATAAAGGTAGTCCTTTCCATTCCAGTCCTTTTTCTTGGTGGAATAAACCACCCATTCAAAGAATGGAAATTCTCTGACGTTCAAGCACCCAAGTATAAACCCTTTGCTTTCTAAAATTGAGTGCACCCCCACCTACACCTAGCTGCAAAAATAGACTAAAGTTGAATTCAGTCTACCATCAACAGTGCAGCTGGGAGCTAATGGGATTGGTTGCAGCCCCATCAGGACCAAGACTATCTATAGGGTGTCTCCCAGCACTTTCAAAGTTCTGGAAGGGGTGACCATTTTTCCACGGCAGTTTGTGTCCTTTGCAGTCCTCAGTCTGGCACTTAAAGAAAATTGGCAGATTATCCAGGTGTGATGGTACACACCTGAAATTCCAGTTACTCAGGAGACAGAGGTTGAGGGTTATGGCTCAAGTCCAGCCCCAGGCAAAAATGCAAGATCCTATCTGAAAAACGGACTAAAATAAAAAAGGCTGGGGGCAAGGCTCAAGTGGTAGAGCCCTTGCCTACCAAGCATGAGGACCTCAGTTCAAACCCCAGTACTGCAAAATTTTAAAAAAGAAAGACCAGCCGAGGCTCACAACTCAGTCATGTCCCAGCTTCTATAGAAGCTGTAGCTCAGAGGTCTTGCCACTGGCTCCTACCAAAAACTACAGAGCTATAAGAACTGCACTATTCTTTTGGTCTGACTTCATTTTACAAAGGGCAAAAGTATCTTAGACACAAGAAATCATTGATCAAGAGGAAGCTAGGCCCCATCCACAGCAGGATTCTTTGCAGTCCACTCTTCTGAGAAAATACGACTAAAACTAATTTTATGTCTCTAAATAGGCTCTCAACATAGCCCCCTGAAGGGATGTTGGCATTTCAAGTCTCTGAATGTCATCCAAAAGCTCAGGTTGTTGGGGCCTGGCTGGTGCCCCTTGAGGGCCACCTACATCCAAGGATAGGTAGCAGTGTGGGAGAGTAAGTTTTTCTTGCCCAGAGTTTCAAGTGATGTGTGAAATTTCCCCTAAACAAGAGGAATTCTCAGGTTCTTCCTGGAGTTAAGAATATGGTGGTAGCTGGGACAATGGCTTAGAGCAGGAGTTGGAGGCTAGGCAGAGTTTGCCTGTCTCCTTCCACCAGGCTGCCTTTCTGGGGCCCTAAGGTGATGCTTTTACTCTCTGCTTGCCCTCAGGTCTCACTGACAAGCCTCATAGCAAAGATCCTGAACTATTCTGATGTGAAATCTATCAAAGCCCTTCGGACCCTCCGTGCCCTGCGGCCCCTGAGGGCTCTGTCTCGATTCGAAGGAATGCGGGTAAGACCTACCTCAAGGCTTCTGTGCTGGGCAGCATGTGGTAGCCCTGCCCTGTAGGCCCTCTGTGCCACTGACCCCAAGCATCAGGCCCCACCCCCACATCTCGCATCTTCCTTTCCTGCTCCAATTTTGGTCATACAGCACATCTTAACTCTGCTGGTTCTCATTCAATCTCCTTTTAAGAACCTCTTCCTTTGTCACTCATAAATGTCACATCCTAAATATCCCTACTGAAGTGACACTGACCAGGGCTCCACAGCATCTGCTATCTCAGTTGCCTAACTCTGTCTCTTGTTCTTATCACCAGCACCTCCAATCAGTTCTCCATCTTTCCCTGACAAATGTCTTTCTTCTGATACTTCATGTACATGTAGCGACATCTTCAGCTCAGCACCTTAGCCATCACCCACTGGAACACATCCTCTCTGCCACCTAACACAGTTGTCCCTTCCTGTGGATTTCTGCCTCCCACCCACCCCCTTTCCTTACCCATCATTATCAGCCTCCACCTTGTCCTTCCTCCTCCATTGGTTCAAAGTAGTCATCATAGCTTCAAAAGTAAGAGTGGAGTTTTAAAATTATCTTGTATGTTTACAAACACAGAAGCTAAAGATTGAAATCATTTGATATTTATTTTGCATCCTTGTTTGCTGACGCAAATGAGCAAGTTGTGAAATGGATTTAGCTTTCACTGATTCTTTACCAAAACATACTTTATATTGTAACCCCACTTGCCATGGGGTTGTATCAAGTGATGACACACAGCTAGGGCTGGTGGAGTGGTTCAAGTGGTAAGAGTGACTGCCTATTATATTGTATTTTGTAAGATAAAAAATTAAGGTTCTAGAAGTCTGTATGTGCAAATATAACACACACACCCCTAAATGATGTATTTGCTTATAAACTCATCCATCTCCTCAATCCTGAGAAAAGACACTAAAACCTGCCCAGAGTGAGGCTTGCCTCACTCTTCAGTTGCCTAATGTTGCCTAGCCTGCTGAGTCTGAATTATACTTCTCTTGCTGCTTCCAGAGGCACTGCTCATGAAGCAGCCTGAGTGAGTATGGAAAGAAATGAGATCCAGTAGGGAGCGATAGCAGTTTTGAGGTTCCAGATCCTTTTCTATTTCCACCAGGTTGTGGTGGATGCCCTGGTGGGCGCCATCCCATCCATCATGAACGTCCTCCTGGTCTGCCTCATCTTCTGGCTCATCTTCAGCATCATGGGGGTGAACCTCTTCGCCGGGAAGTTCGGGAGGTGCATCGATATCAATAAAGGATTCTCTCTTGTCAATTCTTCAATTGTGGGCAATATGTCTGAGTGTGTGAATCAAAACAACACTGGCCACTTATTCTGGGTTAACATGAAAGTCAACTTTGATAATGTCGCAATGGGTTACCTCGCACTTCTTCAGGTGGTAAGTCAACCATGAGATCAGCCATTTCTCTTCCTTTGGATGCTCAATAAATGGAGAGTCTGGGGTCTCCAGAAGATAATACATAGGGGGACTTTGCCAGGGGTAGCACTAAATGTGAGCTGAGGTCATTCTCTATTCCCACAGACTACATCACTAGGCCAGAGGACCTTACCAATGAATGTGATCTCACAGGGGTACATTTAGACAAATCTGGGCTAAGGGAATAGAAATAAATGGATCCACTTGCCATGGGGTTGTATCAAGTGATGACACACAGCTAGCGCTGGTGGAGTGGTTCAAGTGGTAAGAGTGATTGCTTAGCAAGCTCAAGACCCTGAGTTCAAACCCCAGTATCACCAAAAAAAGTGTACTAGGCAACACCCAGTCTAACATGATAATAAAAAAATTTTAAAAGTAAAATTTGAGATTGGAAAGAAAAAGAACATATGACCTTTACAAAATAGGTGTGGTATAGTCAAATGCTCATTTTTCTTCTTCACATCATCTCCTAGAGAATAATGAATTATATCTAATTAAGTTTACTACAATGATAACATAATTTTAGTGACAATGACATTCACACTTTCTTTTTTGGGTGGTGGAGTACTGGGGTTTGAACTCAGGGTCTCCAGCTTACAAGACTCTACCACTTGAGTCATTCTGCCAGCCCCGCAGAATTCATTCATTCATCCATTGCCTTCATCCACATGTTCATGCAGCCCTCTATTCATGAAAGTGTTGTTACAAATACTTTTACAGCTGCCATGCAGTTACCCACTAGTTCCTGCATTCCACCATTTGCTCATGCAATGAGTTAGCAAATAATGCCTGGGTAGTTATGGCCTGCCAAACACTATGCTTAGCCCTGGGAGATACAGTCTGAACTGACTCTAGGCACTGATGTCTTATGAGAAAAACAGACAAATATGGGAATCAAAGCAGCCTATCCAGTGCTGTGACAGGCCTAGGATTGCAAGACCTGAGATATCTTCCATGCCCTGCATTCTGGAGGGCACGTACAGCCTCAAGACCTCAAGATGCTAAAGCTGGAGACAGAAATATGGAGGTCTTCTATTCCCAACCTTCCCCTCTTACAGATTCTTCCCATTCCTACATTCTATGCATGAGGTGGGAAAGCAATCAAAGAAATGGCAGTCCCAAGAAGGGAGCCTTGATCAAGGGCACAGAGCAGCCTCATAGCAGTTGGCACTATAGCCAAGAATCTCATATTCTGGGAGGTTCTGTGTCTTTAATGGCACTCTATTCTGAAACGGCCCCATACAGATTACTTTAGATCATCACGTGAGATTAGGCAGGTCACCTATATGAGTCTACCTCTCCCTTTCTGCCCATGCCCTTTCCTCCTCAAGCCCCCTTACATGAGCATCCTGCTCTTTCTCACCAGGCCACCACAGCCTGGGAAAAGGTCCAGTGTAGATGGATGCACAGACACTGAGTGGCCTCTGTTTCTTGTTTCCAGGCAACCTTCAAAGGCTGGATGGACATCATGTATGCAGCTGTCGACTCTCGAGATGTGAGTATCAGGCCACTGAGCCTACAGCTTTCCCTCCATATGTCCTGCCCATATCAGTCGGTATCTGTAATGAAATGAAGATGACCCGGTGCTAGAGAGGCAATCATCCAGCAATCTCCCACTACCCTTCCTTGATGCAGTGTCCATCTGCTGGGTTTTGTTTAAGTGCATCTAGACCCTCCCAGGCATGCTCCTCAGACTTTTTCAAGCATTTCCTCTGCTTACCACTGAGAGATCAGATGATCTCTAAAAGACAGTGTGTGAGAGGCCACTTCCTACACGGGGGCAGAAGCCAGGGCACCAACTAGAATCAAAAGTTCTCAGATGGAATGCCAGGTGTAGCATGGGAGCAGAGTGGGGAGGGGCTGATGCCCTGCCTATGTGCCTGCAGCATACCTGAGTTCACTCACATGCTACATTCTGGTTCTCTGTCTGCACGCTTTCTTCAGTGCTTCAGAGCCACTTGCCCCACGGACTCTCTCCCAAGGACAGGGGATTTAATGTCCCCAGGGACAATCTTCAATGATAACTTTTGGGAGTCTGTAGATACATACTCCAGCTTCTCTTTCCCTTGGTGGTACCATTCTGAGGTGTGTTCTACACAGTCCTCCAAGGTCTCAAAAGGATAATCCACTAGTGGCCCATCATTAGTTTTTCTCCTTTTCCTATTTATTCCTCCCCACCCATCAATCCTGCTTCCTGGAATGAATTACCTACACCCAGGGCCTTGTCTCAGAGTTGCTTTTAGGGTAAACCTATAAACTAAGATACCGACCCTCCTTACCATATGCCACTTTATCTGATCACAGGTTGGCAGTCAACCCAAGTGGGAGTACAATTTGTACATGTACTTGTACTTCGTCGTATTCATCATTTTCGGTGGCTTCTTCACACTGAATCTGTTTGTTGGAGTCATAATTGACAACTTCAATCAACAGAAAAAAAAGATAAGTGGGGCTCAGTTATTTCTGCCAGAGTAATGAGTCTTACCCTTCCTGTTCCCTGGCCAGTCATGGCCTCATGATTAAAGCCAACTCTACTAACAACCCTTCACAACTGACCTAGAACCTTATTTTGGCCTTTAGCACCAAACTGACCTTTGCCCCCTAGCTGTAGTCCTCTTCTCTGTCTGGTGACTGGGGCTGCTGCTGCTGCTGGAAAAGTCAAATTTCACTCCACATCAGCAATGTCCCCCACCTGTGTCCCTACTCCAGGTTCCCATCCTCCTTCCCAAAGTGACCTCAGTCTTTCCAGTTGAAACCAAGTGACCAGAGAGCCACTTGGATCAGGTGACCAAGTGGAGTGTCAAGGATAACTATCCTTGGGAAATATCAACAGGAAGAGAAAGGGCTCAGACTCTTGCTGCTCTGTTTGGAGCTCTTACCCCCAAAGTACTGAGTCAGGGCTCCTCAGGAAGGGCACAGTCCAGATGTTGGTAGAAATCCAACCCTGCTTGGGATGAGGAGGAAAGCTCTTCTCTCCATGGGTGCTGACTCAGATTAATAGGCACCTAATCCCAATAACCTCTTGTATTTATAATATAATAAAACATGAGGACATTAAAGGCTTAAATTCTTTCATACCTTCATTTCCTTTAGCACCCTCAGATCTTGTGGTAGATAGGGCATAATTTTAGATTTGTATAAACTGATATCCCAGAGAAGAGGGATCACATGGTTAAGTCACACAACTCAGCACAGCCTTTGGTACCATGGGAGCCTGGGTTTGCATCCCTGACTCCACCACCGTCTGGATAGGTGATGCTGGCTGTGTTTTAAACCTCTCTGTATCTCAATTTCCTCACCTATTGGATGAGATTAGCAATAACTACTCTTGGAATGTGGGGAAAGGTAAAGGTAAATAAAGAGCACCTAGTTTAGGGCTGAGCCTACAGTGGGTGGGTGCTAGATGTTAAATGTTACTATTATAACTGGGCAAGAAACTACATCTGCTGTCTCCTTGTCCAGAATTCTCACTCTGGCCATGCTCAGTGCCCACCTTCTCACTGCCTCCCATCAAGATCTCTCTCTCTCCCAGGAAGCCCACTGTGTTCACAAATTTTCCTGCTCCACAGATATCAGCCCATTTCCTCTAGCATTTGCAGTGGCTAGTTTACATAAGCATGCCACTGAAATGGGCTTTCAAATTATGTCAGGAAGTGAAAGATGAGGGACTGAGTGAAGGAAGTTAAAAGAGTTCCCAAGGCGACCAACACCCAGTGGGAGGAAGGGAAGTATCTCCAGGGTGCAGTATTGACACTGTAACAGCAGAGGGTGCTGCAGCTGGCAGGCCTCATGAGAACCAATCAAAGACCCCTCACAGGCCATGGACCCAAGGATAAGGCAATAACTGCCCCAGATCCTCCTCTTCCGAAAGGGCTTAAGGTCCTGTGTTCCAGAGTCTTTTCTCCAGAGACCCTGAAGGGAAGCTCTTGCCCCCAGCAGGGACTTTGACTTTATAAGCTCACTGAATGAGTATCCAAGGCTGAGATCTGAATGGACATGTATCTTCTTGAGTCCTGTCCCCAAACCCTTCCCACCTTCAGTGCAGGCAACATTTCTGGGTTCCTGGAGAACAGAAACAGCTTTGCTTCAGAGACTCAGGCAGTGAGTCTGGGATGGGCTCAGTTTCTCTTCTTTGTCGTTGGTTGTGGCACCCAGGCAAGACACTCCTGATTACAGGCTTTCTATGTCTTTCTGCAGAGGAGAGGAAAAGATCAAGCCAGTCCTTCCCATACAGGATGCTCTGGTTTGGGTAACCCTGAGGGATCCTATTACTCTAATAACAGCACTGTGGCCCTTTCCTATACTTAGGGGGCCAGGACATCTTCATGACAGAGGAGCAGAAGAAGTATTACAATGCCATGAAGAAGCTGGGCTCCAAGAAACCCCAGAAGCCCATCCCTCGGCCCCTGGTGAGCCCCAGAGATTCCCTCTAGCAGAGTGCATTTGTGCATATAGCCTAAGTCTGGGCTTGGAGAGGGCCTGGCCAGTGCTGTCTGTGAAGGATGACGTCTGGGTTGAGTTTGGAGATGAGGGTGATGAGGGCTCCCAGGCCCAAGCAAGGAGAGGCTTAATGATAGTAAGAGTGGTTAGAGCCCAAGAGATGAAACATTGTTTAAATGGAGCCCTAGATCTACCCCATGCTCCTCTTCATATCTACAGGTAGACTAGAGGGGAAATGGCAAAACACAAACCCCCAGAGACTCAAGGTACAGTCATGGTCGTGGTCCAGTGACCCAATAAAAACCAAAAATCTTCCCATTTTGAAGTTTAAAAATTGGCCAAGGACTGGCAATATAGCGCAAGAGGTACAGCACCTGCCTAACAAGCACAAAGCCCTGAGTTCTAAGCCCAGTACCAAAAAAAAACGTTTGGAGCGTATATCAAGTAGTAGATCACTTGCCTGGCAAGCACAAGACTCTGAATTCAAACTCAGACTGCCAAAAAAAAAAAGATTGACTAAAAATTAAAACTAGGCTCCACTTTGATTCCTTTTTTCCAAAGACCTCAAGAGTCCTCCCCCTTTATTCCTCTATTAAATGCAACACCCAGACCACACATAACATTACCTACCTATATTTTTCTCAGCTCTCTGCTAGAAGATGGAAAACATCAAATCTGTAGGTGGCCCCAGGATGACATCCCTGTTGGGAATGGATGAACAATGTTAGGAATGAAGATGCTATGTCAGAAATCACAATGAACCACTTCAAAGGGTTTTTGAGCCATCCCCTGCAGTGACTGGGGTTGGTGTTTTATCCCTTTACATTACCTTTCTGTGACTGAGAAGTAGTACTTATGAAGAAAACTACAGGCACTTCCCCAGTACAATCCCATTAGCCCTTCCTCACACAAGAGCAAAGCCTAACGACCGCCCAAAGGAGTCTCCTTAAAGGAATTGGGGAGACATCAGTCTGTCGGCCAAGGCATTAGATTTCTAAATCGAGGCACGTTACTTACACAAGTTACTCCAAACTTGGTGGTACAGAGTCTCAAAAACATTTACAAGAGAAAAAAGTTATGACTTCCAACATACTTTATATGAAAATAGTGGTCATAAATGTATTACTATTCAAGGGTCAGTGTTATATTGGGAGTGGCAGGCAGTTCAGAGCTCTATAGGAGTAGAGGGGTCCTCCATAGTTTCCTGTAAACCAAGATAACTGGGCTTCAGTGAGCCTGAGCAAAAGTGTGCAAGGCTTGTTATGTGCTCCTCTCTCAAGAATTCCAATGACAAGGAACAGGCTCAAATATTAAAAGATGTAGATGAAAGGCTGAACTCAGCCAATGAGATTCAAGTCAGGGGCTGTAAAAGGATTCTGGTATTTACTGAGGTTCAACAGTCTGAGTTCATGCTGGCATTTACCAGTGGCCAAACTAGTGTCGAATTCACATTTGAACCAGAGAGTCCTTTGCTAGGGGCAACCTTTGTCAAAATCATAAAGATTTTTGACACTTCACACACACACACACACACACACACACACACACGTCACTCCTCATCTCTGGGGAAGCCCATGTTTTTAAATCGTGTTTCATCTATAGCAAAGGCTAAATGTTCCACAAGCCCGGGAGATTTTATCCTATAGTATTGCCTGCTATAGAAATCACTAAAAGCAGGTTTCATATACTCCACTTTTTAGAAAAATAATAGGCTCTAGAATAGACATCATCACCACCTACTTCATCATCTCTGAGAGTATGAGGGCTATGATCGCTGCCCACAGACTCAGCCAGACACAGCCAAAAAGCTGCTCCATTCCCTAAAGTCAGATTACCCAGGGCAAATGTAAGGCCAGACTTGATGCCATCGCCTGCTCTGTTTAATTAGATGTCATGTGACCATGAATGGGCCTCTATTTTTTTTTCACTATTTTTGATGATACAATAGAAGGGATTAGTAGCTCAGCAATCTGTCTCCCACTCCTCCCACCTCAGGAAAGATGTGCACCAGCAATCATGCATGGAGCCAGGCCCAACTGGGTGTGAGTCTCGGCTTTAACCCAGAAGGGTAGCACCCCACGCCATGAAGCAGAAGGTAGGGATCAGCCCATCACACGCTTCCTCTCTGCTCATTTAGCAGCTCTTAGGAGCTCCCTGGCAGGCTATGACAGGTTCCTTTCCTCTACCTTCATGGCCACTCCTGCAGAACCTTACACACATTCTACATTCAGTAAGTGTAACTTGTATACAATTAAATTTAATCAAACCCAGTCAGTAGCGTGGCTTTAAAAATGTTGAGGTATGGTTAATTCAGGGCTGCCCATTCTATCTATCTTCTATTCATTCAATTTATTGAGTTCTATAACATACCAGGTACTACACAGACATTATGGTTAGAACAGTGAGAAAGATGGACAAGTTTCCTGCCTGCAGAGAGATTACAGTTCAGTGACAGGGGCAAATAATTAGCAAAACCACATATGTGATTTGGTGTGGTAGTTCATGCTTATAATCCCAGCACTGGAGGCTAAGGAAGGAGGGTCAAGCATTTGAGGCAGCCTAGGCTACATAGCCAGACCTTGTCTAAGGAAAAAAAAATATGTACGTTAATTCACCAGCTGAAGGAGCTCCAAGGGAGTCCTGAAGAGCTCTAACATCTAAAAGTTGGTTGCAGGAGACTAAAACAGAGCAGCTTGAAGGGAGAGAAAGAAAAGAACCAGGAAAGTAAGGTATGATGGAAACCAAGAAAGGAGGATTTCAAAGTGAAGGGAGTGGTAAGCAATGTTGGATTTAACATTATGGAGGTCATCAGTGGTCTTAGCAAGAACCAGTCCAATGGCAGGTTGGAGGCAAAAGTTGTGTTGGAGTGGGTTGAAAAGTGGATGGGAGACAGTGATTATATAAAACTCTTTCAAAAAACTTAGCTGTGAAAGGGAAGAGGGATCTAGGATGGTGGCTGGAAGGAGACGTGAGGTCCCTGAAGATTTTGCTTTAAGTTAGGAAAAACAAAGACATTAGAGATTTACCTAAAGAACTGAGAGACTACAAGTCACTCACACAGATATGAAACATGCCTAGAATTACAGCCAAAAGCAGGCAAGAGTGTCAAAAGCCTGACTCATCAGGAATAAGGCAGAGGGTCCCAGAGGCTGGTAAATGACAGTAAAGAAGAAATGACAGTGGGCCAGCTGGATGACACAAGCTTCAAGGGAGGAAGGGATTTTACAAGACATAAGCGTTTGCTCCTCTGGAAGGGACCATGGGGAACAAGAAGAACCCCATACTTGTCTCCTGCCCCTGGGGTCTCTGTAGGGTGGAAGAGAATGGCAGCCTTTGAGTAGGAGGTGATGTTTGTAAATCAAGACAGGCGAGTATCATAGAAGTTATGAGAAGGACTTGGGAAATGAGGAGGGAGTGGAGAATAGGAGGTGAGATCAAGGATTCACAGAGCATTAAGATGTTAACACCATAGGACAGAATAGAGGACCACACTAGGAATTTTTCAATCACCATAAAAATAACCAGATAGAAATGATCAATTGGTTATACAGGCCACTCTGCCTCCTCCAAAATGAAAACAATTCAGACCTCACTCCATGCCCTGTACCTGCATTTTCTTGGGCATCTGCACAGCCCCAGTGTTCTCTAGAGAAAACTTCCAGGAATAAGTCACACTATGGCACTTGACTTTCACTTGGCAAAGTAGCTGACTGAAATCAAAAATGGAAATAAATAATTTGCAAGCAGTTCTCAAACTCTTACTACAAGAGTACAACACTGTGTAAGCATGACCCCTGTCCTCAAAAAGTGCATTGTCATGAAATACTAGAACTCAAGACTGACTGCAAGGGTTGTGGGAGCCAAAGAAGGGAAAGAGCAATGAGGTGTAATATGATGAAGGAAAACTCCCTGGAAGAAGTGGGCTTAAGGGAAATGAATCACTCAAGACTGTTGAAATCTAGAAGGCTAAGAAAAAAGACAGGAAGAATGTTGAAAATAGAGGGAAGAGCACAAGGTCAGAGGAAGTGATTCCTCTGATGACTTCAAGGGCTGAGAGCAGCGGTGAGACTAGAACTGGAGCAATGAGGTAAATCAACTAAAAGGGAATTCTGAAAGGAATAAGGACAGGAGTTGCTTTTTTATGGATGTAGAGTGTGAGGTAGACAAAAGAGACAGATTTCTAAAACTCATGTGTGGAGAACTCAGACTCGTCAGATGTTTGATTTTATATTGGCCCAAAAGCCCTGATGATACCATTTCTTGTTTTCTCAGAACAAGTACCAGGGCTTTGTCTTTGACATCGTCACCAAGCAAGCTTTTGACATCACCATTATGGTACTCATTTGCCTCAACATGGTCACCATGATGGTGGAGACCGATGAGCAGAGTGAAGAAAAGACAAAAATCCTCGGCAAAATCAATCAGTTCTTTGTGGCTGTCTTCACAGCAGAGTGTGTCATGAAGATGTTTGCCTTACGGCAATATTACTTCACCAATGGCTGGAATGTGTTTGACTTCATCGTAGTGCTCCTTTCCATTGGGAGTAAGTAACAGCCACATGGTGGGGAAGCCCACCATGCTTAGGGTTATTTTACTGTTCTTTTAAAATCAACTATTAAAAACATGTTATTATGTTAGAAGAGCAACTTCCCAAGAGCAACAGATTTTATATATCCCTGGGAGCTACCAGTAAGAGGAAGAGGTCCCATTGGTCTTCTCCATGCTATTGTGAGGTGTTTTCAGGAGCCTGTCGTGTGCACAGCCAAATGCCAGAATACTGTAGGCTGTCAGGGAACAATCCTCCTCCTGAGAACCTAAGGTTATGAGATGGAATTTCCAGTGGGCCTTCTATTTATGGTCTTCAAAACAGGGGGTGAGTGGTGTTATGTAACATGATCCATAAAATATTTTCTGGTAAGGGAGTTGGGTTGTTAGTAAAGTGAGGAAAGACTAGGAGGAGATCCTTCAAAGGAGAGTCTTAAGTTGAGGGTGTGGAGTTAAATCTCTGTGTAATTGTCCTCTTAGGAAATATGAATCATAGACAAGTTAAGGGATCAATGCCAACAGATCAGTGCTGTGAAGGCCCAGTCTGGGTGTTGTTGAATGAAAAGCCTAGTGCTTTGTGTGTAGGGAAATTAATAGAGTCAGAGGCTAATGTGAGGAGTGGATATACCATAACTGAGTACTTGCTAAGTTCTGAGCACTGAGCTGGTCATTATGAACCTTCACTGTAACCCTGAGAAGAAAGTGTTACTGCCCTCATTTATCCACTTAAAATTGAGCCTCATAGATTAGAAAGGTTATACCAAGTCGGAGTTTATAAGGAGTGACTTTCAATCAGGCTAAATTGTTTTAATGAATTAGCTGCCTCCCACCAAGGACCAAGAAACTGTGTCTGACTTAGCCAAATCCCAGCTCACCAGCTTTTCCTCTCATTATGAATATCTCCTGATCATTTTCATTTATATCCTGACCTGCTTGCTTTTTATGTCAGAGCATAGCTGTATATTTAATTTTCCATTGATTTACTAGCAAAAGTTAATAGCATCTAAACATAACTTGGCAGCAGTTAATCTATTTCCCCACCCTGGCTGCTGAAACATAGCCTGGGTTGCATTTATTTATTTGTTTGGAGGCTTTAAACTTGGTTTTGCTTTTGTTTTATTATCACTGATGCATTTTTTTTTGAAAACCACTTTATTGAACTAAGATTGACATACAAAAAAGCTGTATATACACAAACAATCTGACAATGTTTAGAGACAGGTATGAACTCATCACCACAATCATGCCATAAACATATCAATCACCTCCAAAAGTTTTCTCCCACCCTAGTTAGTTGGTTAGTTAGTTAGTTAATTACTGGGTGCTAAGGACACTTAAATAAGAACTACCCTCTTGAGCTTCTTTCACTTAGTATACTGGGAGTTTTTATTGTTGACTGGTTGGTTGTGTTTTTGTTTTGTTTTCTAATGGCCATTTTGATTTTATATTAGAAATGAGAGCTTTCTTGTACAACTTCCCATATCAATAATATAGAAATATAATATACCCACAACACATAGTTCTGTGGTGAAGACGGCTTAACTCCTAGTTCCTGGGACCTATACAACAGCTCCATCCACTGAGTTGGAGTCCCTCACAGGAACAGCTGGAAAAACCAATGGAAGAGCCATCTGTCAATCTTTCTACTGCTTTCCTCCCAGTCTTCTTTCCCCCAAAAAAGACCCTTATTGAATATCAAATTGTTACAAGTATGAGGACTCATTCTCCCCTGAAATAAGGTCCTGGGAAAACTAAAATTAGATCTATATCACTGATATAGCAAAAAAATTTTAGTGGATTATATAGACACATAATGTACCCATATTACAGAAAAATGTCTCTCAATTAAACTGGTCTTTAACAAAAGAGATTTCACAAAGATTTTATAATCCAAAACCATAATAATTCTCAAAGTCTCCTACCATTTCCTTCCATCCTCTAACACAATGTGAATATGACAAACAGCTGGTAGGGGAAGAGGGCCAAGGGAACCTGAATGGGAACTTGATACCACTTATCTTGAGTCCTCTCTTCCCCAAAGTTCTCATCACTGAACAACTCTGCTCCCAATAAACCCTCAAGACCAAGCTTCAAAAGTCTTCATGTATCATACAGGGAACATATACTTTCTTCGTCTTTCCAACCTTTCCCATAGTTAGTGTTAGGGACAGTAAATGACCCTAAAAAGCCCATCTCCAGTCCCTAACATAGAGTTCAAACACAGCTGGACATGAAAGAAACAAATTAAAGGCATTATGCAGACAGCTGGCCATTCGAAGCCATCCTGCTTTAGCTGTCAGCAAGTTGCTCAACTCTCAGGTCCCCTTATAATTAATACCAGGCTCCATACAATTATCTGTGGGACCATGTGCCAGAAACTGAGTCAATCTTCACAGTAGGAGACATGGAGATGAATCATAGGGGGTCCTGGCCTTCCCAGAGCACAGGATCAGAGTGGCACGTCCAAAAGCTACCATCTCAGGGAAGAGCAGGGTCTGTCGCATTGAAAATAAAGCATTGTGGGCATGTGAAACAGACTACAATCACTTCCAGCTGAACTAGGCTGCAGAAGATTGGGGGTTTATTATAATTATTAAAACATATTAATTTAAAAAATATATTAATTGTTCAAATCAGTGGGGTTCACTGTGATATTTCCATACATGCACACACTGTGCATTGAAGAAGATAGGGTTTTGGCCATGGAGGTTGACTGATAAGAGGCTATTCTGAGTGGAGGGAAAAATAAGAACATGGTAGAAAGGGTAAGACTAACCAGAGGGACAGCAGATTACTGCAATGGACATTTACCGAGTGGTGCCTTGTGCCAGGTCAGACTCATAAAGCCCAGAGTCCTTGACTACAGATGCCCACATGGAAGTCCATACCAAGAAGAAATGAGGAAATGAGCATTACTTTGCCAGGAACCCTGGTTGGAGGTACTAATATTATTTCCCCTCCTCTTTCAAAGGTCTGGTATTTTCTGCAATTCTTACATCAATTGAAAGTTACTTCTCCCCAACACTCTTCCGAGTCATCCGCCTAGCCCGAATCGGCCGCATCCTCAGGCTGATCCGAGCAGCCAAGGGGATCCGCACGCTGCTCTTTGCTCTCATGATGTCCCTGCCTGCCCTCTTCAACATCGGGCTGCTGCTCTTCCTTGTCATGTTCATCTATTCCATCTTTGGCATGTCCACCTTTCCCAATGTGAGGAGGGAGGCTGGCATTGATGACATGTTCAACTTCCAGACATTTGCCAACAGCATGCTCTGCCTCTTCCAGATCACCACATCCGCTGGCTGGGATGGCCTCCTCAGCCCCATCCTCAACACTGGGCCACCCTATTGCGACCCTGACCTGCCCACCAGCTGTGGCTCCAAGGGGAACTGTGGAAGCCCAGCTGTGGGCATCATTTTCTTCACCACCTACATCATCATCTCATTCCTTATTGTGGTCAACATGTACATTGCAGTGATTCTGGAGAATTTCAATGTAGCCACTGAAGAGAGCACTGAGCCCCTGAGTGAGGATGACTTTGACATGTTCTACGAGACCTGGGAGAAGTTTGACCCAGAGGCCACCCAATTTATTACCTTTTCTGTCCTGTCAGATTTTGCAGACACTCTCTCTGGTCCTCTGCGAATCCCAAAACCCAATCGGAATATATTAATCCAGATGGACCTGCCCTTAGTCCCTGGAGATAAGATCCACTGCTTGGACATTCTTTTTGCCTTCACCAAGAATGTGCTGGGAGAATCTGGGGAGTTGGATTCTCTGAAGGCAAATATGGAGGAGAAGTTTATGGCAACGAATCTTTCAAAAGCATCCTATGAACCAATAGCAACAACCCTCCGGTGGAAGCAAGAAGATATCTCAGCCACTGTCATTCAAAAAGCCTATCGAAGCTATGTGCGGCACCGCTCCTTGACAGTCCGCAGCCCCTCGAGCATTCCCAGGGCTGAGGAGGTTGCCATATCACTCCCGGATGAAGGCTTTGTTGCATTCATGGCAAATGACAATTGTATGCTCCCAGACAAATCTCAAACTGCATCTGCCACATCTTTCCCACCATCCTATGACAGTGTCACCAGAGGCCTTAGTGACAGAGTTAACGTAAGCACATCCAGCTCAATGCAAAATGAAGATGAGGGCCCCAATAAGGAGGTGACCACCCCCCGGCCCTAGTGCAGATACTCAAGCATGTTCCTGTCCAGTTCTAATGTGATAACTCCTTCCCTCTACAGATGGCACCCAGCTACAGCTCATCAATGCATGCCACTGGTCACAATGTCAGACCTGGGTGGAGAGTATAGTTGGTGCCATACCAACAGAATCCAAGAGTATCTCCACCTTGACTTTGGTTATGAATTTCAGTATCAGACTATGGTTTCTCTTCCTTTCCAGAAAGTGTCACTGCCCACTTATTTCTATTGTGAACAAAGATTTTTATTGGCCAAGACAAACTTCTCAGGACCAGAATTTCCAAAGATACATGGCAAGGACATTACCAAAGGTCTAAGGTAGTCTTCTTAGAAAAACCACATAGAGATTGGCAATGCTATTTAAGATTTTGCATGACTGCATGTTGAGAGCTGCTGGATAACTTTCCCAGCCCAGGTTAATACCTGTGGTCTATGTCATGAAAGATCTTTGAGATATCCATTAAAATTAATATTTTTAAAGGTATGTCAAGACCAGTGTTTTATCTTAAAGTAGCATTTGTTATTTTAATTGTGTGATACTAATAGGTACACGAGTCACTTCTCCCTCACTTTCAGAGTTCCTGTTATTTTGCAGTTTGATCCTGAGGCTGGATGCAGGAGGAGCGAGCCCTCCCAGGAGCTGGTGAGACTGGTTCTAATTTTAACTTTTCCACCAATTACCTGGCTGGCCAGGTCCAACCATATCTTTCTCTTATAAACCTTAGTTTCTCCACTTATAAAGTTGATGGGTGTGGGAAACAGAGTGGATGAATTGGATAGGCCTCGAATCTCACATCATGAAACCCAGTGGTGCCCTTCCCCATTTAGATGAGAAAACACTATTCCATTAGCTGGATCTTTCTGCTGTGAGCCTAACAAGGTGACTTTTGGATACATTCCAGATCCTGTTTTACATCTCATAATCAGGTTTTAAGGAGGAGGGTTTTCATATTCCCCTGGGACCAAGACTCCATAATTAGTATAATCAAAAGAAAATGGATATTTTGAGAAAGATGATATGATAGATTTATTGTATGGCCAATAGTTTTTTTCATTCATCCTACAAATATTATTAAGTACTTATTATATGGCAGACATTGCTCCAAGAATAAAATAAGAGTCAAACTCCAAAAGATAAATTGATTTATGCAGTGATTGGAGTAAGGATTGTCACAGGAGTATATTCAGCCCAAAGGCACATCAGGGGTCTTGAGCTGAAGGCTAATAAAGAGGTTTATACAGCAACATAGGACATAAGGAATCTTAATGACAACCAGTACCTTCTATAACTCTTGCGACATTCCCAGCCATAATCACAAAGATGGGTTTAATTCATTGGATGTATATTGATAACTGTATAAGGTTTTGCAATGGTATGATTACAAAGCATGAGGCTGATCACCTATGTATCTCACACATGCAGGTTTCCTGAGACCTTATTCTCCCTTCTCTGTCACTGCTGGCTTCTCAAAGGCTTTCCAGGAGTTTGTTGGGGTTTGCCAGCACCCACAGATGCAGGTTAATCAGATGCTGTGGAGTGGAGGGAGGGGCACAGGGCATGCTAGCACATAGAATAGCAGCTATTCTCTGGACATATCTAAAAGGTGAGTTCAACCAAATGGCTCTTCCTCCCCAGTGCCACTGAACTGGGAGCACAGATATCAACCATACAGTGTTTCTTCAACATCTAAATCCCATATGATCAATGAAAAAGTCATCTGAAATGATACTAACCCGAGTGTGTATAAGGCAGCCAGGTAGACAGAGAGCTTGGGGATTGGTTTACCTTGTAAAGTACATGGAAGAATTAAAAGTACCCCACCATCAAACTTGTTTTACTAAGTAGATGACATTATTCTCAAAGGTATTCTCTTCACATCTTCTGCCCCATGTTGTAGATTGCATTGTGTCCCCCAAAAAGATATGCTGAAGTCATAACCCATGGTGCCTGTGAATGTAAATTTGTTTGGAAATAGGGTCTTTGCAGGTGTAATCAAATGACAATGAGGTCATACTAGAATAGGGTGGCCCTAATCCAATACCTGTTGCTGTTATATTATATTTAAGGGAATTTTGGATATAGACAGAATACCAGTGATGATGCAGAATCACACACACACACACACACACACACACACACAATCACAAAAAGAAGACAGTGATGTGAAAACAGATGTAGCTACAAGCTAAGGCACAGCAAGGATCGCTGGTAACCATCAGAAGCTAGCTAGGAGGGGGCAAAGAAGACAAATATTCTCCCCTAGAGACTTTAGAGTGCACAGCCCAGCCAATATGTTGATTTTTGCCATTTATCCTCCAGAAACATGAGAATAAATTTCTGTTATTATAAGCCACCTAATTGGTGATAATTTGTTACAGAAGTCCTAGGAAATTTTCACAATTTTTCCCATACAGGTGCCTTGTCCAAATTATAGTGGAGCCATTAGAAAAGGCAGTATTATGTACAGGGTTTTCAGAAGTGTGCCCAATGCAAATGCAAGGTTATGTCTGGAAATTTTCACTAGATCCACTTCCATAGTTTACCTAGTTAGGAACTAGATTTCCAGGGGAGCAAACCTGAGAAGAGATGGGTCTTGAGCCCCTGGAGATGGCACTAGCATCTCTTTGGCCCCAAATATGTGAGATATTTCAGCACTGAAGGAAGATAAGACACTCACAATGTTGTTGACTATGTGAATATCTGGAACTTGCAGCTTCTTTAATAAATGCTTCCACCATAATCATTGTCCTAATGTTTATACCATTAAACTAAGTAATACAGACACATGCATGACAAAGAATTGTCAATACAGAAGGGTAAGCATAGGCAGTAAGACAAAGGCATAAGCCTAGCAAAAGTGAGACCCTGAGTTTAAACCCCAGTACAGCCAAAAAAAAAGGAGGAGGAAGAGGAGGGGGAAGGGAAGGGAGAAAGGGGAGAGGATAAGTGGAGGGGGAGAAGGCAGGAGGAAGGGGAAGGGAGAGGGGATGAGGAGGGGGGAGAAGGAAAAGGAAGAAGAAGAAGAAGAAGAAAGACAAAGGTAAAGATACTTTCTTAAATGCTAGGGATACAAAATAAGACAGATGCTAAACAGAGGGTTTTGTTGGTAGTGGTAGAGACGGTTGTTTTTGCAGTATGGGATTTGAACTCAGGACTTGCATTTGCTAGGCAGATGCTCTGCCTCCAGCCTTTTTGCTCTGGTTATTTTGGAGATAGGGTCTCACTTTTTGCCCAGGCCAACCTGGACTGTGATCCTCCTATTTTACGTTTCCTGCCATAGCTGGAATGACAGGCATGCCCCACCATACCCAGCTTTTTCCCTTGAGAAGAGATCTGGTGAACTTTTTTACCTGGCTGGCCTCAAACCAATTCTTCCCGATATCAGCCTCCCTCATGGCTAGGATTACAGGCTTGAGCCTCTACACCTGGGCACCTGTCTTGAAGGGTTTTAAATAAGTAAATAATAAGATAATATCAAGATGTCCAGTAGTGACAGGATAGAGTAATTCTCCATTGAAAAGATTACAGTGCTGGTTAAATGCCAGGAAACTATAATATAAGCTGGGAGATCATGAGTAAGGGTTGGGTCAGAAAGTCGTATTATTAGCCAGATGGGAAGTAAAGGTTTCATTATTGTTAGATTCTGGCAAATTAAGAAAGCATGACTTAATCACTAGCATTGCCACTAACAAAGCAGAAACAGAGCATATAATTTCCAAAGTAGGGTGGGAAAAAATGCTAAGAAACAATTAGCCAATCAAAACAGTAAAGCTAAAAAGAGGATAAATGTGAAATATAAAATAAGAGGAACAAGTAGAAAAGACAGAGTCATGTAGCATATTTGAACACAAAAATACCAGTAATTACATTGCATGTAAAGAGACTCAATGCCCCAGAAAATAGACAAATAATGTTTAACTATTCAAATAAATGATGTTTATAGAGATATACACCTAAAACCTAAGGTTACCAAAAAGATGAAAATACAAAGATATACCATGTAAATATCTATCAACCAGTTGAAAATACATGCTCAAGTACTTAGGAACCACGCATAAAAATAGTCCATGTGCCTAACTATAGAGTAAGACTCAAAAAGTTTTCAAGGGATTAAAACCATGTACTGTGGGCTGGAGGAGTGGCTCAAATGGTAGAGCACCAACCTAGCAAGCACACTGCAAGGCCCTAAGTTCAAACTCCAGCACTGCAAAAAACATTTTATATATATATGTATATGTATATATATATATATATATATGTTTGCATATATATGTATCTATATGTATATGGACACTTAACATATTGCAAAAATTGGATAGCATCACAGTAAGAAAAAATAGTCTTTCTACAAGTGCTGAAACATTGTGTGTTTACGATAAAAAGAAAAAAAGACTCCTACCTCAAACCATACTCAATAATCAATCCAAGTGAGTCTAAATGTGAAAGGCAAATCTGTAAAGCTTCTAGAAGTTAAAGAGGAAAATACGACTAGAATAAAAAAGATGATGAATTTGATGTTAAAACCTCTAACATCATTTCATTAAAATATACCATTAAGAGTAAAAAGAACAAGCTAGAGAACAGAAGAAACTATTTAACACACTTATGAGCTGTCAATTTCTTATGGATAGTGTTTGTAAAGGGCCCAAATTAGAAACAGTCCAATGTCCATCAGCAGTAGAATAAGTTAATAAATTGTAGTATCCTTTTGTCTTTCTCTCTGTTTTGTGTGGTATCTTTTTAAAACGTAATTTTACGCAGTAATGAAATGAATGAGAGAGCCTCATACCAGTGGTGTAGTTCAGAGATAGTGTGCTTGCCTAGCATGCAAAAGGCCTGCACTGGGAGTCCAGCACTAACAGCTAGGCACTTATATACAACAGCACTCTAATATTCAGAGATTTTTATGAACAACACAACAGAAAAAGTAGCAAGAAACTTGAAGAGACACTTCACAAAAGAAGAAATATGAATTACTAATT